TCCACCCGCCACTCATTCTCTTAAAGTTCATGCTTCACACCTGTGCTATGTGTGCTCAGTACCAGTCTCCTGTATCCACAGGCATTATTTTGAAGTGCTCCAAGAACTATAATTATCAACCTTGTTGTGTCCTTGGTGATATTAGTGGACTATTTTTGTAGCCTTCAGTTCCAAACCAAAGCAAGGTGGTATAGTGGCTAAAAGGAAGTGTAGTAGCCATGGGATGGACGTGAAATTAGAAGTTACATGTCGTAAGAAAAGTGGTGAGCATGTCTCAATGAACCGCCTTCATTGAAATGAGTGTGTGGTTAGGTAGCTTGCACCGCATCAACACACCGACCCCAAATGACTTTAAGTACCTTAAAAGGTTATAAAGTGAAATAATTTCATAAAGTAATGTGTAATCAAATGTTTAACAAATATTTCTATGGTACAGTGGGGTATGCTATAACGAACGGATCCTACTACGAATATTCCTATAACGAACGGTTTTACCTATAAAATTGAGAATTCTATAACGAACGAAACTCCTACAACGAACATTATTTAAATTTTTTTTTTCTAATTTATTGTTTTTTTTATTACAAATATTAATGATATTCTTTATTTCAGGGGTTTAGATGCATATTTATGCACTTTTTTACAATTTTTACAATTTTATATTATATTTTTCAGTGTTAAGTGGTTGTATTTGGGGGCCTGGAATGGATTAATCCTATAACGAACGAATACTATAACGAACAAGGTTCTAGAACCAATTAGATTCGTTACAGCATACCCCACTGTATATATAAATGTTAAAATACCCTGTACAGTGAACCCTCACTTTATGCAGTTAATTCAACCCACGGCGGCCCGCGTAAAGTGAGAAACGCGTAAAGTGAACAACATAACATATGGGATTAATTGAAATAGAGACCGGGCCGACCCCCAAACTCCACTTTTTCCCGACACAATACGTACGTTTTACTAAAAATAACATCTTAACTTTATGATGGTATTCACCCACACATAATATAGAAGGGAACAGTCAATAAACTGAAGGTTAGGTTAGAAAAAAACAAGGTTGGGGTTAACACTTACGTTAGTAGAAGAGATGGGTCGGCGTACGGGAATGGAGGCTGGTTCCGAGGCAGAGGGCAGGCTACTGGCCCTCGGGTGAGTCACCATCACTGTCATCCACACTTGTCAGGGCCTCCCTGACAAATCCCTCAAAGTCATCATCTCTGTCTCTACCTCTGTCACTATCACTGGCTTGGGCTGGCTGTAGTGGGTTGCGGGCGAAGAACTCTGTTATGCTTTGCTGACAGCTGGTGTTTATGTTGTCGTGATAAACCTTGATGTAGGGCTCCATAGTCTGCAACAGCTGGGTAGTGAAGATTTCATACCTGTTTGCGTCAGGGTCGTCGGAAAGGAGGAGCTTGGCTTTCTCGATACACTCGATGGCACCCCTAACATTACTATGGGATAAGCGGCTTTCTTCTTGGGATGACACACCACCTGCCTCTTCACTGATGTCATCATCATCTACCATGTCGTCGGTAGTCACATCAGGATCCCTTATCACCTCCAGGATGTTGTCGTTGGTGGTCTCGGAGAAGCCTGCAGCTGTAACACTGCGCAGCTTCTCTGGCAAGGTCCACTGCTACTGCAACAGTCTGAACCTCACCAGTCACAGATTGACTCTGCCTAACCCCCGGAATGCCTTGCAACACATGTCTCCATGCGTGACGAACAGTTGCTACAGACAGCTGATCCCATGCCTCCACCAAGAAGTCCACAGCTTTCTTGACGTTGAATTTTCTCCAGAAATGTTTTAAAAGTACTTCTTGCTCTGCCAACTGTTGATCCTCGTCGTCTTCGCTCTTGCTATCGGTGTTGGTGTCACTCAGGTTACGCAACTCTTCCCTGGTGTTGGTGTAGTCGTTCAGGAGCTTGAATTTTTTAGTAGAGAATGCAGCTTTTACATTACAGATTAACTCTTGGTCCATGGGCTGTAATATAGACGTAGTGTTGGGAGGAAGGAAGACCACTTTTACGTTGGGGTGACGATCTAACAGTAGGGGCGAGTGTCCTGGTGTGTTGTCCAGCAGCAACAAAATCTTGAATGGCACATTCTGTTGCTCACAGAATTTCTTCACATCAGGAACGAAACAGTCATCAAACCAGGAGAGGGACAGTGTAGAGAACATCCACGCCTTACGTGCGGTCAGCCAGTGGACATTTAGCTTGGTCATGTCCATGCTCTTGTAGGCGTGCGGCTTGCGTGCTGTGTGGATCACCGATAACTTGAGCTTACAGGTACCGGAGGCATTGGTGGTAAACAGGACGGTGATGCGCTCCTTCTGCAACTTCCGGCCCCGACACTTGCTGGCATTCTTCACAACGAAGGTCTTGGAAGGTAGCTTTTTCCAAAAAAGACCAGATTCGTCCATGTTAAACACCTGGTCGTCGGTGTACTGTCCTTCCTCCATAATCTCACGTAAAAACGGAGGAAATTCCCTAGCCGCAACACGGTCAGCACCAGCTTCTTCACCACCAATGTTAATATTGGTGATCTTGTTCCTCTTCTTAAACCTCTGTAACCACCCAGAGGAAGCATTAAAGGGTTTGGGCTCTGTAATTCCCATCTTTCGTGACACTGCAGCATACAGTTCACGTGCGTACTCCTTAACTGAGCGCGTGTCCACCGCCATGTTCCGTCGCGCCTGACGCACCAAGTAGCTCACAAGTAATTTTTCCGTCTTGAGAAGCACCTGGTTGTGGAAATACTTGATCATAGAAGCACCTGTAGACTTTGTGATGTTCATGTGCTCCTTTATCTTGGCTGCATCCTTCTTAATTGTCCTGATCGTAGACTCGTTAACACCATGCTGGCGCGCGAGATCAACCTGTCTTGTTCCTTTCTCCAACTCTTGTATGATCTTATACTTAATTTCGTAGCTTAAGGAACGTCGTGTCTTCTTTGGCTTAGGGCGGCTGGGTCCAGGTAAGGAAAGGTTTCTCTCTGGGGGCGGTGGTCCGGCGGAAGCCATTTTACAGAACAATGGAATCACGTATACACGGTGTGGCCTGGAGGGATGAAACTGCCGCGGCTAGGTCAAGCGTCGTCTTTCCTCCCTCCCTCCCGCGGGTGGACACGTCATATTACTTTAAACCAATCACAGCTAGCAGCGGAGGGAGGTAAGGATGCATGGCCCAATTACAGTCCGATACATCATATGACGTCACTGATAACGCAACAAAGACACACACTGCGCAACCTACTTGCGCCGCTTACACAACATGGCGGATGGCGGGAGAGATGGCGGCAGGTTTGGATCCAAAAATGGCGAGGCTCGCCAGCCGCTCTCCGCGTAAAGGGGTACACGCACCGCGGAAAGTGAACATTCCGGTTTCGGCAGGGTACCGCGTAAACGTGGAAATGCGTAATGTGGGACCGCGTAAAGCGAGGGTTGACTGTATATCAAATTAAACTTTATGAGTGTCACAATGTTATGGTCCCAATTAGACTCCATTGTGTACTATTAATTCCCCTTTATAAATGGTTTCATTATCAGTGTTTTTTTTTTGGTCCCTATTAACCACTTATAACAGGGAGCCCTGTAGTGCCACTGTGCCAAGTTATTCACAGGTTCTAATATTGATGTTAATTGAATCCCATGAGAGCCATCCCATGTGCTCACGATGATAGTAAGTGACTATTAAATACCTGTACTCATAATGGCTCCAGGTTCTTACCATGACCACAGTGGGTAGGTTTTTTGGTCCATGTGTATCAATCCCTATCCAATTTAACTGATAAAAGAAATCCTTTTGAACATTGCTTCATACAGTTGCTGTCCTTTAGTTTCTTATACTGTACATCATCCTGTATCACTTCTCATCTCTACTTCTATAGCTTTGAGTTACCAATAGACCAAGATATCATTTGTTTATCTTAGATATACAGTACAGCAGTACAGTAGATAATGTTATTTTGTATGAATAACTGCAACTATAAGTTTTTATTGCATGTGCTGTACCTCTGGTGTTAATATGTCTACCAGTGTTAGCCTCCTTAATAATGATCATCATGATCATCATTAAATGATGCGACACATGACAATTCTGTACAGGTTGAACCTCTGCGATTAGGCAGCTGCTTCACTTAATTTTCTGATTCATGGAAGCTCAAGGTAAACATTACCTAGAGAGCCACGGTACTGTACAGTACAGGTTCTTGGTAATTATTTATCATCTTGCACTTCTAACTATGAGGTTTAGCACTTTATTTAATAGAGTAATGTACTGTATAGTACAGTACAAGAGTGTTGTTACCCTCTCAATATTACAATACCCCTGTATTGTACATACTGTACTGTATAATAGAAGGGTTGTAGATTGAGAAATGTATACTGTACAGGTACAATATTTCTCAATGCAGTACAATGATGTGCAAATAAAGTTGATGAAGTTCTATTGATAATATCCATTGTTTGTATCCACCATACAGGTATTTCCATTGTTTTTATCCACCATAAAATGCTGATGGTTATGAATAGCTACGGTACCAGTATAATGTACAGTACTGTACACTTTTGTGTTCTTTTAAAATTTACCTGTTACATAGTACAGTACTGTCATTTGAGACAATTTTCATATTTTTTTTTCTAAGTCAATAATTCATTTTCTTTCATTTTTTTTGCATTTATTACTCTTAAAGTGTGGAAGTAAAGTTTTTTGTAATAAGTTAAATTTTCAGGTATTATAATTTTCAGGTATTATAATTTTTATGTATTGTATTAATATATTTTATAAAAGTTTCTGGACTATGGGAGTTTCTGGTTCATAGAAATCCAGAGTAGGAAGATCCAACCTGTGGTGTACTGTCTGGGGCTTGTTTAGGTGGTCAGATGTTGTCAGAGCTTCAGTGGGAAACTTTTCTTTCTCTCTTTCTCTTTTGGCTTTACCGAACTGTGCTTTTATTATAACTACAGTGTAAGTGGATAATAACTCTCTTCCCAGAGTCTAGTATGGTAAACTGTGGCTCCAATACCACTGCAACAAACAACCTGATCTGCCCAGAAGCCAAGGAACCCCACGATGATTTTCTCTTACAGATGGACTTGGCTGCACTTGTCAAAGGTTAAGACCAACTATATGTTGTGGACAGGGCTAAGAATCCAAGTTGGTGGTGGCAAAGAAGTGTGAAAGCTTTTGTTTTTGGCTCTACAGTATTTGTGAATGACTTTCATGAATGAACTATGTCCTTAGTTCTGATTTTTCTTTGGGGGTGGGCGGTGTTTATGTAAACTGTACAGTACTGTCTTCATTTGGGAACTTTCTTGGTTTTAAAACTGATTTAATAAATGTACAGTACAGTAGCTACAGTAAAATATCTGTCAACTGATAAGTTTATGACCAGGAGGCTTCTGTAAAATGGATACTTACAGTATGCACAGTGGATACTGTACTACTATGAACATGTGTCCAGTGAAAGCAAGTAATAAACCAGAGTACTGTACAGTACTTGTGTCACCTTGGCTGTATTATTAGTCTCTGCAAATACTGTACTGTACCCCTACAGTACACTAACTTATTCTAAACTTGCTTCAGTATTCTCAGACACTCACAATACAGTACATAAAGTGCAGTATTATTAAGATTACAAGTAAGTTTATTCAATGTGTCATCATTCTCCTACACTCACCATATAACCTACTCTGCAAACTCACATGAAACAAATAGACTCATCACTCAGTCATTCAGCCAGTTGCTGATTGTCCAATTTTTCTTCATTTACTCTCATGTGGAAAATTAAGTAAAATATTCTACAGTAAGAACTCATATTTCGCTCAATTTTATTTCAAATTTTTTTACTTTCGCTAGCATTACCTCATGTAACCAAGTTTTATATTTGTCGTAAAATATAGTGATTTACGCGAGATCCAGCAAGCTGAATGCTGGCCACCATCTTGAATGACGTCACAGCCCTCATACCAGTTCGTCATTTCTGCTACAACGCGTGTTTTGTCAACACGAATTGGTTGTAACGCGATTGCCGAATATGGGATCGCTGTTTGTAAAACGTGAACTTTTGCATACGAATGTTGGCTATAGTGCGATTCCATCCCCAATGTTTTGATTCCATCCTCAATGTTTTAAACGTGGTGCGGGGCTATGCAATGTTTACAGTTCACTTTCGACATCACATGTTCAATTGATTCGTGTGTTTTGTTTGTGAAGTGTTTTTTGAGAGTTACTGTACTCTGTAAATTTCATTCTTTTTTTGCAAATTTAGCTGTTACCCATAAATACTGTATGAAAAGAATATGTAAAAAGAATGTTTCACAGTGTGGACTAATAACGGTTTTACACCAACGCTCTCTGTTTACATCACGTGATCAGTTGCTTTGTGATTTTCACTGTTTTCTCCAATTTTGTTGTGTTAGCGATGAATATGGAAAGACAGGGTAAGAAGAATGTTTCCAAGAAGGATTCTGGTGATCGAATTGCCGGTGGTGAACGTAAAAGAGGTTTACGAGAACGCAACTATCGTGGTCCTAGCGACCTCCCGGGCTGCTATTGTGTAATTTTTTGGGTGATGCTACCACCTGCCGTGTCAAGATAATGGCCTCTACCTCTACTGGGGGTCCTAGTGGTGCTGGTGGGGGTGGGACAGACCCACCTAAGTGGCCAAATATGGAAAAGGAGAAGCAGGACTATCATAAGGGAGTTAAGTTTGCCATGTCTGTACTCGATGCAGAAGAAGCAGCGTGTGATTAAATTACAGTACTTGAGGAAAGTCTAAAAACTAGTTTCCGGAAAGCACAATCAGGTCAATAAAAGCAGAATTTGTGTCATTTGGAGGTTATAAATGGGAAAATCAGAGGTTGGTGTAGAGTGGCCAGTCTATATTGTTATTTTTCCCATTAGTTTATGTATTTGCATTAGGAAAATTTAAATTTGGCGCAATTTTTCCAGTCTATGGTGCTCGAGAAATACAAGTTCTTACTGTCCTTAAAAAAATATTTTACTTCAATAAGTAGATTTTCTGGTGACAGAAACCATACACTGTACTGTAGTTGCAATTATATGTTAGAATTTTTTGGTTGTGTTGACTTGTAATTTTTGTTTTTTCATTTTAAAATCCGATTTGGCTTTGTCAAACATAATACTGTACATGTACAGTCCCTTTCACTAGTGAATTTACATAAAAACATTTCACAAATCATTACATTTAGATATTTGTTTAAATATTGTTTTACTTTGATTCCATAGTATGTTTACTATTGGGAGTTTCCTTCCATCGAATGTAAACTAACACAGGCCTGCCTCACTGCACAAATTCTGACAAGCCCCTGTAAGCACACTAGTGAAGGGGACTGTTCCTATACTGTACTATCAAGCATTATTGCGTAGATGTATTTTTTTATTGTGTTGTCATCCAATAGTAAAAATTTGCACCTCTTGAATTGGATTTTGTTTTTAATCTTTGTTTTTCACTTGCATGTGATTTAGTGGACTCAAGGTGACTTACAAATGTGTTGAGTTGTAATTGTGTCTTGCTATTTAAATATCCAGTACATGGTATTGCTTCCTTACCCAAAACAATATGTAAACAATAAAGTACTGTACATTGTATTTTCAGACGAATTTAATGGTTTTATTATTTACTGGAATGACTGTACAAGTAAAGACTTTTAAAAGTTGATGAGTGAGACCATTAAGAAAATTGGAGGATTTATCAAAAAAAAAAAAATTCTGGTTGAACCTGTACTCAGGGAGCTTTTGTAGCCAGGTTGAGACCCAAGTAAACCCCATCGATTGTATCTGGGAACTGATTTTACAGCTACCCAGCCCTGCCTCCTTCCTGTCACAAATAACACCCTTAATAAAGGGGAGATTTGAACTAAAGGTGCCTTATAGAGGCAGGTCTAATAGAGTCATGTACTCTTGACTGGTATACACACTAACCACAGCTGATGGACTGCTATCTTGGAGTCAAGATTACCTCTATTTTATTCTCTCACTCACTACTCACAAATGCAAGAGTCACTCAACTATGGCCTTGACCAATAGGAGGAATGTGGGGATCAATCCTCTTGTTTGGTCAAATTGGTCAGCCTCCCTCTGCCAGTGACTCATTACTTCACCCAGCTAGCATGTTGGGAGAAGGTTGAACTACAAAAGCACCAAAGGCCAGGCTTGTATGCAGCCCTTCAGAGGAGTTAACCTAGCTTCTACAGAGAGGAAGGTCTCCAGTAAAAGTACTGACCATGTCCCACAGTTCCTTGGTGTTATTCTTAGACTTGGAGGGAACTTGCTCAACTGATGCCCAGTGCCTCTTGTAGTATGGCTAGCACTCTCCCATACACAGACTGAGTACAGTATTGAAACCTACTCTGAGAACATTATATGAGCAATATTGTGCAAACCGAAAATAGCAGAGAAACCCAAGGTGTGAATGCCATCCCCTTATAAAAATATATCCAACTGAAACACTGGTTGATGAGGAATACTGAAAGAATTTAAACTTACTACAGTACAATAGTTCATAAACCTGAGGACAGAAATTGAAATCCATATCTTGTAACTCCCAGTCTTAAACAACTACTATAATGGGTGATATCATAGTGGATGTAGATGATGGTGTAGTGGATATAGTGTACTAGATGATAGTGTAGTCACAGATACTGTATTGGCTATGAGTTACCTCTCCAAAAGAAACATAGGGCTTCTTGTGTGCCTAGAAGTCTATCGTAAAGTACAGTACAATACTGTACAGTATTTGTATATTAATATTAACAACAATTGGCAATTATGGGAATAAGGTATTTCCCCGGGTTTTGGGAAAAATGCTATTATCAACAGTTAAGAAGTAAAGAACATTGCAGTACAGGTATATATTTTTCATGTAAAATTAACCCTTTTGTTGCATTTCCCACACTTGTGATTTTATTCTGGTCACCGCCAGACGATTATATTCAGCTTAGGAAAACCTCCCACAGCCAAAGGGTTAAAGCCTATCTCGATTAATAAATAGGTCATAGCCATAACAAGTGGATGGTACAGTATTTACAGCAGTAATGTGTATACAGTATATATCACCCTAAGTCCTGGGTTTGAGTCGTGGCCTGGGACATGTGGGAAGGGCATTATCCAGCGTGACCCTACCAAACATACTGCAATGTAATGTAGCAGGTTTCCTCCTGTACCAACGCCGAACAATAAAGGACATAACAAAATAACAAGGAACAGAACAACAACCTGAATGGCTAGCAAACTGATAAGTGTTGAAACAATTAGAAGTTTTGGTAACACGTTTTATTAATGCCAAATCAAAGTTTAGCATGTAGAGTATTGTATACCTGTAGTGTCATACAGTACAGTACTTATGATAATAAAATTTTGCTGTTGGTTTTTTGTTTACCTGCTATTTTTTTTATTAAATGACCATCTCCTTATTTTAGCATTACTGTATTTTTACTTTACTATCATGGCCATAAAGTACTGTACAGTATTTGTAATGATTTGTCTTAATTTGTGTTTATTTTACCATTTCAGATGTGTCAGAATCAAGTAGTGATGATGACCTTATCCACAAGCTGTCACATGATCTGGAGGTATGATATGTTGCAGTTAACGTAATCACTTTAGTGCACTTGTACATACAGTAGTAAGTCTTATGTGACCATCTTAATTATGAGGGCGATCTTCTGGCAGGTCATTTTTACCTGATGAACAGCCCTCATTCTTGACTTTGGTGAGATCCTTGTTATGCTTCACAATTTTAATCCAGCAGTAAATCCCATACAGGGGGATTCACCATGAGTAATGGAATCCTTCTATTTCTCTGTGGATTTCCCTTAACACTTTCATGTATTGATGTATTGGTTCAACACACACACACACACACACACACACACATACACATGCATGTACAGCAGTTTTTTTTCACTTAGTAAAGAGATCACTTCACTTAAATAACTGAAATACAGCTCCTCCCCGACTTACGATGGGGTTAGGGACCCAAATCCAAGTCGTAAGTCGAAAATGCTTAAATAATACATAGAAAATCTAAAATGGGTGTCTCTTTTTCTTCTCAGCACCACAAAACTTTCACTTTTAAGCTTGCCAGCCATTTTAAAGTGAATTACAAACGAAAATTTTGTCTGTGTACTGATGTTAGGACTCGAAAATACGTAATTTGACAACATTTTGGTACTACTAAGGCAGGTTGTAAGTGCGGGTGGTCGTAAGTCGAGTAGGTCGTAAGTCGGGGAGCAGCTGTATAGGCTCATAGTCACTCAACTCTTCATAGTACACGACAGTACACTACACTACAATATTACACTTTCATAGCCTCTGATAAGTCATATTATCCAGTAGGGTGTCAGAGGGATCATAGGGGCCCGAGAGACTAATGGGTGGCGATAGTTTTAAGGATTCTGGAACGAAATTCTTGGATATTTACCATAAGAGTTTTTGATGGGTTAAGTTGGGAGATGAAAATATGTCATGCTATATAACAAGAGGAATTCGTTTAACTTAAAGAATTGTGTGGCTGAAATGTTAAGAAAAAATATCCAGTCAGTGGCTCAGTGTTGTTTCAGGTTGAGACTTTTTCACATTTTGAGATAATGCAGATGTTGTAAGGTAAGATAGTTTCAGAACTTGAATGAATGTAGGCATTCCTAATACATTACTGCATTAAATGTAAGGTGAGCAGCATTAAAAATGTTAGATGGTGTTTAAAGAGGAACTTTCAGTTGACTTCTGTTGACTTATATGATGCCACCTTGCATGTGCCATTATATTCAGACATTTTAGATTAGTCATAACCTTCTGTCTAGGTTAAGCCAATTATTAGTTAGAGGTACAGTAGTTCTTCTCTGCTTCAAAAATCTTTCTAAGGTGTTACGACTAATACCGTACTTTATTTCTAAGGATAGAATAGAACTTTTTGTCTTGTGTATTTTATATGCTAAGAGTGTCTTGGGTCCATATCTATGGAGATTGATTGGCAATTGTGATTCATATCCCAACAAATTGAGTTTTTGAGTGAATAGAATAAGTGTAGCTTCTCTTCTAGGAAAAGTTTTCAGTGGCTGTTTCCTCTGGAAATTTAAGAATGAGTTGAGTTAGGCTTCTGATGGAGAAAATATTACAGTTCATTCTCAGGGAGATCTTTTCTCTGCTGTCTAAGAGATCTGTTCCTCACAGGTGGTGTGAGGTAAGGGTGTTTGCCTTTGTGGAGACAGGAATCTCCATGCAGATTGTGATTATCATGGTGAATTTGGACTTGAAAGTTAGATTAAAAGAGAAGATAGTCTTGGTCCCTTGGAACCTCAACTGTGTTGAGGTGAACTTCACAGTACAGTATATTTTTCCCTGTTCCTCGGAGACTCGAGGAATTGATGGTTTGCCTCCAATACATAATGGGCTTTTCATTTCCTTGGAAGATTTTGAAGGTAGGAGGGGTTGGTGGTACAGCGGTAACACACGTAACTCACACCAATATGGCAAGGGTTCAAGCCTCGGCCCGGACACACCTGAGAAGGGTGTTATCCATATGTTTCCTGGAGTTTCCTCCTGTACCAGCACTGGATAGACCAACTGCCCAAATGGCTAGTAAGCTGATAACTGGCGGAAATTATATATAAAGTATGTGTCGAGAATGTCTGTCAGTTTGAAAAGAAATGGTTGTTCCAATCTTGCTTATCAAATGGGAGATATATTACAAAGAGTATTATTTTGTATATGATATATAAATGGTGGTTCATCCTGGTGTCAAAACTGTCTTAAACAATCTCAGTCATTGTTATTGTTGGATAAATTCAATCTCTTGGGTTATTTTCCTGGGGGTTTATTCAAAAGTATACAATATTTTTAATTATCCGGGGAAATTTCCATCCTTCAGTACTGTACCGTATATATTTTTCATGTGTTCCCTGTGAAGGCTCAGCTGTGGTGGATGTTTCTTCTTTGAATTGGAATACTGTACTATATGGGATCAGATTTCTCTCTTTTTCCCCCTTTTTTATGTTTTAATGTCATTTCTGAGACAATATAAAGAAGTTGACTTTCTGTTAGCACCTTTATGGGTTCAGTATGGTTTGACCTCTAATTTGTTCAACTTCATCCATATCCTCTACCAGTTTCAACTTCTTCTTTGAGTCAGGTATTGTGAGAGGATGAGTTCTTATGCCCTTGTCCTCAGTTCTTAGGTGGCAAGACTGTGTTTAGGATTATGATGTAGGGCTTAGTGGGGTTTAGTGAGGTTTAGTGATGTAGGGTTTAGTGGGGTTTAGTGATGTAGAGTTGGATAAGGGTTCAACTTTTATACCTGGTTACATTCAGGAAAAACTTGTCTGACTCTTACAACTAAGATAGCTTCAGTACACTGATCCTGTCACCCAGGTAGCAGAACTCATCAACGTAGTTCAAGGATACATCCCAATATTGAGTTTCTCCAGCCTTGCCAAGACTCATAATTCCTTGCACATGCAGTGCACTTATGTCAGCAACATCCTGCAATCTGCCATTTGTGCCACTTCACATCTTGTGTACCCATCTTCCACACTCGCTGCATATTATTGAATTACTGCAAGAACAAATACGAAGTACAGAACAGCAGTTTTTCCTTCCTTAGATATTTTTCTTGTAATTGCCAAGCCATAAATATTGCTACTGTATTCCCCCTACCTGGCAAGAATCCAAACCGAATGTAAGTAATGTTCATTATCTCCCTCATAAATTTCTCAATCACTCTTTCCACAAGTTTCATAACCTAATCTAACATCTTCAGGTCCCTTTAGTTCCATGTTCAAGTGCATCTCCTTTACCATTGTTATTATTCACAATCATGTTCTTCAACCAGTCATGTGGAACAGTACTGTATATTCCATCATCAATGCATTAATCAATTCAGCCACTGTCGCCATGCCAACACCAGTTGATGCTTTCAACATCATCTTCAACTCTTCCAGAGCTACCAGCAGCCTTTCCATTCCACATTTTGTCAAAAGCTTTCTTCACCTATTGTCTTTTAATCCTTGGAAATGGTGATTGTCCTGGCACTGCTGCTTCTAGGTTGCCCCTCTCCTATTCAAACTCCTCATTATCAACAACCACATTACCTGAGGCTTAGTCACTCCTCGTACACTGCTCGTCAACTGTGTCCTTGTTTTTACCCATTATTTATCTTGCCGTTATATAAAGGTACTGTACCTCACTTCTAGCATCTACATTATTTAACACACCCAGTATCTGAAAATGCATTCTATTCCCTCGTCTTAGCCATGTAGACTTATCTTCTGACCCTGTACTTGGCCTTCAGGTACCCTTCCTCGTCACCACCCAGATTTCAGGCCTTAAACTGTACAATCCGATTTTCTCCTTTATCACCCTTGTCTACTTCATCATTCCACCACCATGTTACTGCATGCCTGGCTGGGCCCTTAGTCGAGCCACACTTAACAAAATATACAGTGTATTTTAATTTGGTCCTACATCTCATTACTGTACACTCATACATTATTGTAAAACTTTTCAGATAATTTTAAGTATTTTACTTTATGATATATGATTAATAGAGGAAGTTCAGGCATATTTTATTGATAAGAGTAATTTTCTCCCCTTCAGTTACCATTGGCCCTGGATGACATGGAGCCAGTGTCTTCATGGTCACCTGAACCTGGAGATATGTTTCAGTCACTCACCACTAATGACAATTTACCTAATTTTCTTAAGTCTGAAGGTAAGTAGTAAAACTGAAAATAATTATTAAGTGGAGATTGAGAATACAAATTATAGTACAATACAGCCTTAATTTTATGTATCAAACACCCCACACCAATCAGTTCTTCATAATAATGCTGACTAGACTGGCAGTTGTAGGACACTTGACCCATGTCATTTCAGACACGGACTGTCCTTATGATCTTCCATCCTTGCTTTTGATAACTGTGTTGACCTTAGAAATTGAGGTTAGAGGCAAACACTGTAATGAGTTGAAGAGAATGGAAGTTTTATCGAGTCATTTCTTCCTGTCTGGTGCTACAGTCTTACCCCAGCAAGTGTGGAAAATGGCCATAGACCTTGATGATGTTTATGAAAATCGCTCATTTTACAGATTTTCTCTTAAGCTTGATCTTTATTGGAATTCATCCCAGTCATACAGCAACGACTGCTTGTATGTCACCCTGACATACAGTAGATGTTGAAAAACTAGTGATTGACCGAAACTGTTATGGTAACCATAGAGATGAGTTGAAGTAAAATTTCCACTTAAGAACTTAACTCTGTGAAGCTAAACTTCTAAATACTGTACTGTACTTTCAATGCCCTGTGTAATTATGTTGTTTTTATGTACATTATGTGTGCCGCTATTAGTAGTTTAGTTTATATTATATCCAGGATCATGATTTCATAATTTTTATACTTTGGATACTGTAGTAGATTGAAATTAATAGCAGTCCATTATTTTACTAATATTTTAAGGCTCAGATTCATCAAAAATATTTCAGGTGATATCACAGCAGAGGAACTGACTCGAGCTCTCTACCCAAATTTGGCTGCTGGAACTGTTGTTGACACACACAATGTTACCTCTACAAGAATTGGAAGTAGAGTAAGTTATTTTTTAATGTAATGCTGTACCAGTTCAGAGCAGCCCTTGAATGTGTATGCCAGGCTTTTCAGGGTTTTCCACTAAGTTCCTCAGGCCATGGTGCTGCATAAAGATAATTCAGAGAAGACTCACGTCCCTGGCTCACAGTGTTCTCTAAGTAATGAGTCGTGACAATGTGCACCTCATACACTGTACTTCTTACTGATGAAATTGTTCCTCATTTGCCTTTTTTAGTTTTATGTTGCCTATTTTTACCTATATCACCATTTGTCTTTCCTTAATTTAAAGATTTTAAGTGCCTTAATATCTGGGCTCTAGTAATTACCAATGTCTGGATATAAAACTATACATTTTCGGTTATTACTTTTGACGACTTAACTGAATGCTACAAAGTGAATGGTTTTACTGTTAGAGAGAGATATTTTGACTGTTCAGTTGTTGCTGTGAGAATAAGATGTCACTGTGTCTCTGAATGAATGAATTCCATTTTAGAGAGGATAAACCTGACATAAGTCAAACGTTTTATAACTTGGTTCAAGTCAGGTCTGGTCTTTCTGAACCTTAGCAACATGGAGACACTGCCTGACTTAACAGACCTCACCTGCCATTGGTACTGTTTGACAGCTCACAGACATCTAACCTAAGAAAAATGACTGTAGTCCTAGCAGGGTCAGGCAACCTTATAAGCTCCTTATGATTCTTAATGAATAGGCTTGTGACCTTATTAAGATAGTGAACCCTGGTTTGCTAGATGAATTTTTACAGGAGTGATGTTTGTTCATAGAGCAGGCAGAGACCTGATCTGTTGGCCAAGTACAAGATCTTTGTTTGGTTTTTCTAGGTTTTCTGGCTACCTTGTTTTGGGGGGTTAGTTGGGTATTGTTGGCAGGTCAGAGTCTGGGGCACCCTAGTTTCTCAGTTGGTATGGACCATATCAATTGAAATTCTGTTTGACTTCTCTGGGTCTCACTCTGCAAGACTATCTCTCTGGGTGTCTTCATGTTCCTGACTTAGGTAATTGGGAGTTTGTATGGATTGTGCCTGTTTCCCTCTGTTTTGTAGGGACCAAACTTTTATTGGATAAGCTTGTTGCATTGTATCTGGAGCTTCTTTCTGCCTGTTTTGATCGTTGACTTTTGATTCAAGTGTCGTCATAAAGTTTTATAAATAAAGGTTTGATCCCGACTCATTTTATAACGATCCAATGACATGAGACCTAGATCTCATTTACTATGGTTCCCTTGTAAGTTGGTTGGAGTGATGTATTTACATTTCCTAAATACTGTCTGTGCCATGAAGTAATGGAAGTATTGATTGGTTTAAAGTTAGCAGTATCAAACCTTAATACTGTTCAAATTATTGCATCTGGGAATAAATCTCAAGTAGTTTTCCATATGTAAGACATTAAATTTAAATTCATGCTAGTGGTATGGCAGCTAAGTTTATACAGTACAGCATTCAATGCCTAGGGTACTCCCAGTCAACCCAGTTGTGATTGGATACCTAACTTTAGTTGAGGAAGTGGAGGTGGTTGAGTACAGTGCCCTCTTTTGTCATCAGGCACATGGTACCCACTTTCTCTTTTAGATTCAGTACAGTATATAGTTGGGACTCTTTAATATACAACTACGGCAAGAAAAACATGAAAATTAATTAATAATTTTGTATTTTAGCATGAAAGTGTTCAGTGGTCAGCACTGTGACAAGTGGTGAACTCCCTGGTAATTGTTGTGTGAATTGCAGGTGAAAGATGAACCATGTTCTCCGCAGCACTTCCTACAGATGCCACCATCCCCAGATGATAATCATGACATTTGGGAGTTGCTCTATGCCTCAGATGTCAAGCCAAGTGTCAGGGTAAGTGGATGTAAGAAAGGGTCATATACAGTATATTCAGTGCCATGCTTTCTGTGTTATCATGTTTATCAGTGTAAGTCAACCTCAGAGAGTTGGAAAATTAGTTAAAGAATTTTGAGTAAACTTTGAAAACCTTATTAAAAAATTTATCCAACAATGGTGATCCTATACTTCCTTGATGTACAGCAGTTATACTTTCACTGGGAACCTGTGTCCTCCTTCCTAGCAAACTCTGTAACACAAGCTTCACTATCCTTAATAAAAAAATAAATTAAATAAAAATAATAAATGGAATGTGTGCTTTCTCTAAAATCGTAAATACTGCAGAAAACTTCATTCTCTTCCCTTAAACTTTTCAGTCTTCTTCTTAAACACCCATTTGGTCCACACACCTTCCTTTTCTGAATGAACTGAGCTCTTCCTCTAGTTCTGTGCCTCTCCCAGCTGTTGTTTCCCTGTGTTCTATTGGTTTACTACATTTATTTACTATAATTCCTTCCAGGATGCATCTTGGTCTTCAAAACCTTCTGATAACCTTTCCTCCATTTTTCATCTGCTCTTATTTTACATTTTTTTCATCATTCTTTTTGCTTCTTTTCTAATCTCCCTGTATTCCTGCCTTCATTTTTACACTCTGTATTTACAAGTGGCCTTTTATTTTCCTTAAGTGGCCCTTTTATTCTCCTTAATCAACACTGTCAACCTTACCTTCCCTCATTCCTTCTCTATTATCTGTTCCCATCATTCTTCAATGCCTTCCCCTTTACTCCTCTCATTCACTCATTTATAAGGATTACAGGCAGTCCCTGAGTTACGAACATTAGCTCATATGAATGGGATACCATTATAATTATCAGAATAATCTGTAACAAAAATCCCATTTTTTACATAAAATTAATTTTTTTATATTGTTAACATCACTTTATTTACAGTATTTACATTATTGTTTATGTATGGGATATTAATGTTGTTTTGTATAGGCAAGGTTGTGCTTTAACCTAACATATGGAATTAACACTTTACCGATTTACGAACAGATCAACTTAAGAACAGGGTCCAGGAACATAACCTGTAAGTAACTCGGGGACTGCCCAGTGCCCACTTAACTCGGGCCCATCTGAACCCGGCCCCAAGGAGATTCTCTTTCCTCGTTTTATCAGCACAGACATCCTTCCTGGTTCTTTGAATTTCATTCACCTTGAACCTTCCATTTCCAATCTTTATGAAATGAATTACATCTTTTTTGCCCACTCTGTCACTGTCCCAAAACCTGTTAGATATCTTAATAGATAACCTTGAGTAAATGATCAAGATTGTATGGTGCTATCCACAGGCACTGGACACACCACCGGTCACACCACCCCAGAGTGAGAGTTCGCCCCCACACAGTCCGCAGCCTCTGTCACCTGTCAGTCTTACCAACACCCAGTTGGTGCTCTCTCCCTCACATCAACAGCAACACCAGCAACAGAGACAAGCAGGAAATGGTGGCTCAACAAATCAAATATCTCAACCTATCAAAGTTGTTACCATCACAACAAGGAATGGTTAGTATAAGATCACATAATCATATGGTTTACTGCACAATATTAAGTTTTAGACACTACCGTACAGTATTGTTCTTTGTTGCTGTTGTTAGAATAAGTAGCATTTAGCAAGGAAAATTTAAAAAAAAACAATCTTGAACATATGTGCTTAATCATGAATATACTGCACATTATATACCAGGGGTGGTCAAAATGCGGCTTGCGAGCTGCACTTAATGTGTGGCCCGCGAAAATATCTTGGCTGAACTCCTTTTTGCATTATGATCAATATAAAAGGTACCAGTAAAAAAAAAAGTTCGAGCTTTGTGTTTATAATGTGAGAGGTCACAGGATTAAAACATAAGTTAAATATTCAAGGTAGGTAGAAATATTTAAGAATTTAAATCTTAATTTTAATTAATTCTAGAATTTAGTCAGGTGTCATTCATCAGTGTTGAGTCAGGTCAGTAAATTTCAGGTCAGGGATTACGTAGGAAAGTCGGAGGGAGGGGCAGAGCACGGGGCACAGCCTCACGTTATGACCTGACACATTAACTCAGTGTAACAAGACAATAAACTGTCCAGATCTACCTGGTACAGTTCATAAAAATAAGTTGATTTTAAATACTGTTAAATTTATTTGATAGCAGTGTCTGTGAAGGGAGATGATATCTTCTAGTCGTAAGACGCGAAAGTATGAAGATGAAAACAGAAATTTAAAGCCAGAAGGGAAGGATGATTTTGCATTTACTGTTAAAGGAGGTAAACCTTTGTGCATTATCTGCAATGTGTCACTCACTCACTACACAGCATTATGAGATGGTATCTGATTAACATGTCTCTAATTTTATTGGTTTGCTTATTTTTCTTTTATATTTTCCTCCAAGTTTTGACCAAATGTTTACTAAGACAAATATATAAATTGAAAATATTTTCAATTTTTTTTTCCTTCAACAATCCCATTTAATGTTACTGAAATGCAGACTTGCATATTTTTTCTGAGATTTGCCCGTAGTTCATTATGTATTAAACATGCTCAACACCGTTAAAACAAACATCACTCAAGATTTTGATAACATTTGGTAAATATTTGTACTCCTGATTATTGAAACATAAAATTAAAAAATTTATCAACTACATACCTTAGTAAATATTACTGCATACATGTATTTCTTTGTAATATTTGCTCATAATTTTGTAATAAAATGTATATGTTAGACTAAAAACATGTTTATATTTTCTTCAAGTCTTGCACCTCTCAAATGTCTGAAGATTATCGTATGTGGCTCTTAGGTTAAGCAAGTGTGGCCACCCCTGGTATACTGTATACCATATATGTATGTGTGTGTAATCTTGTAAACCTCTTCCTTTTATATTGTATTACCAGATAGTTAAATCAAGAGCCAACTCAGATTGTCTCTTCATTTTTGCTCACCCTTCACAATAACTGCTGTGATTTCCCTATAAACCATTCAACATTGTCTTTTTGTGCATGGCTGCTTTCTGTGTATCAGTCTACACCATTTGTAATGCAGTTGTACTTCCTCTAAGCCATCCTTCCATTTCAATCATTGTCTTCCCTTTTATCATCCAACCATCTGCCTCTGATGTGTACAATTTACTCTTCTGAACCAATCTCTATACTATTCTCTCAGTACAGTATGTCTATGCCCTCTGAACAAACCCTGATATACTGTACTCTCTGTCCAACTTCTTTCATTCTCCCATCTCATACATCTTTCTTTATTTTTTTTCTCAACCTGTTCACTTCACCTAATGCTATCAACTATGTCATTTCTGTTGCTTTTCAACTGCTTCATCCATCTAACATCTGAGTCCACACTTCACACCCAAATTATGATATTGGCTCGGTGATTTCCCTGTGTGTTTGCAGAGGCGGGAAAAATATGAAGTTGTTCGCAGTCATATTTCCCGCCTCTGCTGATGGTCATGTAATATTTCAATGTGATTCTGATCTTTCAAAATGTTGTTTTTGCATGATGTAGTATTACTGATACATAATTTGTCTTAGTATGCCTTATTGTGGGTAAAAATAAGTATATATTAAATGGATCCTCCAAAAGCATGAATTTGCTACCAGAGTTTAACAGTTAATTCATGTATAATACTTCTGATAAACTTCCCACGTGCTTATGTTTGAAATAATGAATGTGTGTATCTTTATATAATTTAGCTAAATGTCTTTCTCGTCAGAAACGGTCATCTTAAAGATTATGAATAAATTCATTTAGAAATACTGTACATCATTACTTCAGGACAAAATCGGACAGGTTTGCAACGGCCAATCAGCTGTAACTCTTGAGGAGGGGACGGGGCATCTTTTCTCAACTGAGTAAAAATGCACTATAGTACCATATTCCTCTTCTGGCTATTATTCATCACCTCACTTTTATTCAGAACTGCTATTAAGTTAATTAAAGTACACACACTTTCAAACTCCTTCATCATATCTTTGGGTGGGACATGAAAAACTACCAAGCGATATATCAAGTTAATTATTGCATTTTTTGTATTATTAATCTATTTTTCTCTGATGTATAACGCAATAATTGTCACACAACCTAGGATCTCATGCTCCGGGAGCCACAAAAGGAGGTCGCATCACCAAAACAATGAAGATCCAGCCCAAAGTTGTCACCACCACTTCAACACAGCCTCAGGTTATTAGCATCGTCAACTCCTCTAATGGCCAAAAGCTCACCTTACCAAAGACAGGTAAGTACAATACAGTAATAGTAAACATGGAAATTGTGAGTTCAGTGCTACCAAAAATTTGGATTTTTTGCTGAATCTTAGATAGAATGGCTCCAATTTCTCTCAGTTACATCCTCTTACCTCTGATTAATTTTTGAAAAATATATACTGTACAGTACTATATTGTCATCACCCTTGCCATTTGTGATGTATGTTTGACTTTTTGTTTTGTCACCGAACTTCAGTTTTCATGCACTAGTGAGCATGATACTGCCTAGGCACCTTAACCCAAAGGGAGAGCAAATTTCATATATATTTTGGGGTTTTGGTCAAAGTTCAAGGCCATTATTGACGACTGACCCGTTGCCAGTTTTTCATAGAAAACGATTTTAAAAATGTCGCAGTTTCACTGTATTGATATTGGACACTGTCTTAGTTTGTGCAAATGTGTTAAAAAGTGGTTAAATTGAACCTAACCTAACCTAACCTTAGTCGATAAGAATGGTTAAATTGAACCTAACCTAACCTAACCTTAGTCGATAAGAAAAACAAGCTACAGAAGCGTTGTTAGAAGACCTCACCAACCTAACCAAAGAAACCTACCTAACCTTACTTAACTTCCTGGCTGTGGGGCTCCGCCCCCCGGTATATTAAACAGAAAGTATCGTGTGGTTCTTAAGCATACACTGAGCATCGGCGTCGATCCGGCCCTGGCGGCGCAGTGTTTTTAAATGTTGTACTTCAATATAATTGGCTCTTTACATCCAGGATACGGCATTACCGCCGCATCACTGCAAAGAAAGACCACATAGAGTGCACCTAGGCACCACATTATCTACCAAATGAAGCATTTGCACAAGAAATGATTATACGGGTATCACAACACACCTGATGAAAATATGGTAGGAAACATCAAAACAAATAACGCAGCAGCGGGTTAGTCATCAATATTAACCTGGATTTCCTTACACTGATTAAATTGATCCTTTCCACATACCTTGCCTCTAGGTGGAAGAATCTTGTCACTGATTTCTGGTGTCTCTTGATTATTATTACTGTACAGTATATATATATTTTTAACACACACACACAAAAGGAGGAAACAGAGTGGTTGGCAATGAACTGGACTGCCTTTACTTTCCCATTTGTAAAGTTAGTAACCTATTCATAACTAGCAACCACATGGAAAGGACTCAAAATCTGTATCCCCTTATCCAACACCCCTTTGTTTAGGCTCCCGATCACTTGGCCGACAGACGTTTGGCCGGCAGACATTTCACGGATGGACATTTGGCCGAATGGACAACTGGCCAAATTTGTTGTTCTATAAACAAAAACAAAGTCGAAGACTGGACTTGCATTTCCTAACCTAACCTAACCTAACAATAAATATACGTATATATAAACAAAATATATAAAAATGAAAGAAATTAACAAATCTAACATAGCAAAAATAGAATGAAAAAAAAATAATTTAAAAAATTTCTAATAGTTATCCCTATAATCCTGTGTTTTATAAAGCAAATACAATGCAAAGAAGAAATAAAAATAAAAAATAAATTAAAAAGGCCATATGTCTATTTGCCCAAATGTCCGTTCTGCTAATTGTCCATTCGGTCTATTGTCCGTTCGGCCAAATGTCTGTCGGCTCAATGTCCGTCGGTGAAAAGTCCGTCGGCCATCTGTCCGGCCACGTTTGTTTATATGTACAGGTAATCAGTTAAGTGTTATAGACCCAGTAGACATATTTAAACTTACAAAGGATTGTGTATTTTAAGTTAAGCACTATAATGTCCACAGCAGTAACAAGAACTATTCCTGCTGGAGGTACAAGAATAGTGCAAGTAAAGGTGCCTCCTGTACCTGCCCAAGTTACTGCCAACACCACCACCATCACCAACCCACTCACATCAATCCTTACCACACAAGTAAGTAAAAAGTGAGGGTTTTATTTAATTTTAAAGCATACAAGCAAGTATTTTTCAGAGAAATCTATGACAGTGAAAGGTGTAAGAACAACATGAGATCAACACCTGTGTGGTCAACCTGCACCATGTGTAGCAGAAGAAGGTTTATGTGCTTAAAAATATAAGAAATAAAAGACACATGGGAAAACTTGATGGGTCATGAGATTTTGCATTGCAATTAGATTCATTACAATTGTTCATAAAGGACATTGATATTTATGTCATGGCATACCTTGATGCCTGACAGGCAACAGGACAGGGCTAAGCTCCAAGTGAGAGTGCCAGTCATGCCAATCAGCAGCCAGTCCTTTGTATGCCACACCCAAGAAGACCAAGAAATTGTTGCCTAGTGTCTCTTCTCTGTGTGAAAGTACCACTCAGCTGCCACAGCTTGGCTGTCTGTTGACTATTGAGGCAAGTCTAGATATGGTGGTCAGTTTTCAAGCCTCTTTTGAACAGCTGTTTTTGTTGCAAATACATTGTTCTTGCTGTTTGTTCTTAAAGATCAGTGAAGGGTACACCTCATCTTGGGAAGAGTTCTTGACACATGTACTCATAAGATGCTCAGATTCCATGCCCAACAAAGGTATTGTATTCACTGCATAAGCTGAGAATTTTCTCACAAGATGATTTTGTTGTTTCTAGGTAATGACACATGCCATATGATATTGTAAGAATATTCCTTTGACTACTGTACTGTACAGTATTTTGTTTCTTACTTACGTAATATCTTTCTAGTTTAGAAGTATTGAAAATGAGACACTTTAGCAAACAAGCGTAACAGTGCACAAATACATTGTTTGCAGCCATCACAATTTGTTAGACATGTGAATCTCCAAACGGTAATTTTTTGCAAATCTAGAGGTCATGTCACCAAATTGTGGCTGGGAATAAGAAACATGAATGATTTTGTTAATCTTAGCTTGTCCTTCACCTTTAAACTGGGGTCTAGATACAGCTGACATGGAATGGATTGATTCATCTGCTTTTGTTTTTCCGAGATGGAGTGTGTTTTTATAATTTCTAGTACAGTAAATAGATACTTACTGGACTAGAATTTGTAATTTCTGACCAATCCAATCAGGAGGTTGACCTGGGTTATGTTGCAGTTGATATGACAAATAGCTCAGTTTTCATCTATAATGATTATTATAGATGGTGTTCACTGAATCCTATTGAAGGTGGTCACAAGTGTGGCCAGAAGAGCCAGGTCTTCCTGTGGGTAGTTGGTTGTATGATTTTTGGGCCATTCTGGAAACAGTATTCTGAGGCCTTTAAAGCATTTTCTGAAAGGTTGAGGTGAAAACTTTATAAAGTGACTGTCCTGCTCTTGTTTCTGGCCACCTTGTATAAAGTGAGTAAAGGTCTAAACCAACATATTGATAGCTTGAGGTGAGGGAAAGGTTTGGATTCTTCTGATAATTCTTGATAATTCTCTCATGTTATAAACATTAGATATTGCCCAAATTGTCAGGAGTGTTCAGATGTGGCTCTATGGTAGCCTATTGTCAGTATTTTAGTTTTTCTTTTTATTATTTGCAGATTGGAAATCAACAAACAGTGGTTTCACCACCACCACCATCCACTCCCCTGACACCTTTGGCTCCAGCCCTTGCTCCTGGCATGAAGCATGGCAGCATGCCTGATGTAAGTGAACATTGTCTGGGTCCTTTTTTTATTCTAAGGAAGAGGAATGAAATTTGAAGGAATCCAAGAGAGGTCCATTGTTATAAGGTCCTGGTAGCCAGAACATTAAATTGAGTACAGAGATGGTATACACTTGTTTAATGAAAATGGCTAACAATATGACTTTGGTGTTTCAAAGTGAGTGCTGTACAGCACACTGAAGGGGCTAATCAAAAGAATATAACGATATCCCGCATTTAACGATGGGGTTGCGTTCCTGAAAACCTAACATTAAGCGAAATTATTGGTACGTAAGAGATATGTAGGGATGAGGGTTACTATTAGATGCAAATTTTAGTAAAGCCTCAAAAATATCTTTAAGTACTGTACTATAACTATAAATCCTTGTGCATTGTAGCACCACCTCTTAACCACTCCCCACCACCATTACTACCTCACCCTAATTCAAAATTACCAACAATACCACCATTATTATCATCACTCTGCATGTCATCTACCCTTGAGTTTGTTTACAAGAAAGGATGGTCAGTGAACCGTACCTATTATCTCCAAAACGCTCAAAATTTTAATATTATTAAATAATTTACTGATATTAACTTGACCATAACTATTTACCCTTTTTTTTTCATAATAAAAATATAATATTTATATGGTAGATTTAGGAGGGTAAATAAGAACATTTTCCCATTATTGAGGTCAAGGAAATAAACAGGTGGTTACTCTCTTTCTAATACCCTGTACTTGTATCCTAATTTTATGTAATTGGAACATGAAAGCATTAGAAAGAGTTGTTGACTTTCCACATACTGTACATTAAATAATACTTTATCAAGTCAGTATGAAACCTTTTCAAATTCAGATATAGAGGCAACAACTGTTATATGATGGATCTATATACAGGTGGCCCCCCAAATTCATGGAGGTTAGGCTCTCAAAATGGCTTCGAATCGCCAAATCCGCAAATAACATTTGCGGACTGGGGGGGGGGTGTACATTTGTTACTTGTGTACAAAGAAATGTATATTCCCTCTATGTGTTTGCCCTTAAAACAATTATTTCTTTTACCTGTAGTATTGTATATATGTGTGTGTGTGTGTGTGTAGACACACATACACAAACACTTACAAATAAATAATAATTGGAAAATCCTCTCAAGTACTTTAATCCAAAACAAATTTATTAAAACTGTGACAGTCTACCCTCAAGTCCGAGCTCTCTTAGTAAAGTAATAAAGCACGGACTCGAGGGTAGACTATCACATTTGTAATAAGTTTGTTTCTGATTACTTGAGAGGATTTTCCAATTATTATTTATTTGTAAGTGTTTTGTGTGTGTGTGTGTGTGTACACACGCACACACACATATATTTACAATGCAGGTAAAGGAAATTACTGTCTCTAGAACGAATGGCTCCCTGTCCCAGCCACGAAAATGCCGGCAACTTTAAAACTACTCACAGACATTCTTGGGTACATCCAGGTGTGTCATCCGCAAATAACCGAGAATGGCGAAGTAAAAATCCACAAACTTGGGGGGCATACTGTACTATACCCTTGATAAATTTTACGGTGTTAAAAAATTAACACCATTTACCACTATGTAATGACTAGAGATAAGTTTTTTGATGGTCACTACCCAAATGCTTTTCCTACATTGTCACTGCTATGAAAAAATTATGTACAGTCACTCGCAATATTCCGAGATGTGATGAAACAATCTCGGAATGCCGTAACATGTGCGACCCACGGGGAATAAGTGGGAGGTTCTGCCAGTATCGGTGACTGCCAGGCTAAGCAGTTGAACTGTGTCACATTGTCCAGAGGATGGTTTGCATGTGGAAGAAACTAATCCTTAGACATAAAATAATATATACTGTACCAGTAAATATGAAGAATAAATAAATATTAAAGGTAAATAAAAATAAATAAATAAATGTGTTGCCATTTGATACTCTTGTCACTACACACGGGACAGCGGACCCACGAGGGAACGCTGCTCCCTTGCTCTCTGTTAGTTACTACACGTAATAAACATTTAATCCTGTAATGATTTTTATTTTTATTTTTTGTACATTCTGTATGAATGAGGAAAATTATGTATATCTACCCAAAGTTGCAAGTTGAAAAATAACAATAACGCAGCTCACTGCTTGGCGGGCTGAGATACCGACACTTGACCCCCTCCCGCTCCCACAGTCCATACTAACTCATGGGGACAAATTTTCTTTTATTCTCTTCAATTTTTTTACCTTGCTACAGTATCATAAAAAAATAAAAATCACGTTCTGTATGAAAGATTGTGCATGCTTGCCAATCAATCAGAGTACTTACAGTATTAACCAACACCTTAGATATTACACAAGTTGTTACCCCTAATCTGTGGTAATAATTGTGTTTAAAAAAAAAAGAAGTATAAAATTTTTCAATTTACCCCATAGATGAAAGCCTTCAAAAGACAACAAAGGATGATCAAGAACAGAGAGTCTGCAAGTCTGTCTCGGAAAAAGAAAAAAGAATACCTGACTGCCCTTGAAGGAAACATCACAGATCTTCAAAAAGAAAATCAAAAGTTAAAAGAGGTATTTAACAATTTATCCACCACTTCATTCAAAGTGCTGTTCTTCTAATTTTTGTGTAGTTGAGTGAGATTTAGTTGCACAATTATTGCATTCTGCCAGTATGTATGGTGAAGGGACAGGAGATAGTACACAACCATCCCTTAGGCCATCCCTTAGGGCTTTACCTTCAAAACTGTGAAAATGCATCCAACCTGCCCTTCCTGGATGGACAGAAGATGGTGTATGAGCATCCCCTAGTCCATCTGCACCTCACTAACAAATTTTAACTCTGTATCTTCAAAACTGTGGACAGACAAGATGTAATGCATGACCATTAGTGGTGTGGGTGAGTGACATATGGTGGAAAATGGCCATATGCTGTCTGCAAGAAAGGTGTTGGCAGCAGCAGCTCAATAATATGCAATGAATGTGGAAGGTGAGTACACAAGAGGTGCAGTGGAGTAGATGGTAGACTGTGGGATTTTGCTCATTTTTAAGTGTTCTGTATGTGCAGGTAACCTTGTGCCCACAGCAAGGTTGGAGAAACTCAACATTGGAGATAGGTCCCTATCCTTGGACTGGGTGACATGATCAGTGCCGGTGGGGGTGCTGAAGCCTGCTCAGTTACAAAAGACAGAAGTGGCTGTAGGAAGTTTAGGGAGCTGCTGCCTTTATTGATGACAAGAGGACCTTCCCTCAAAAATGAAAAGCAGATTGTATGTAGTTGGTGTGAGAAATGTGATGTATGGCACTGAAAAATGGACACTTAAATAGGATGACATAAGAAGACTTGAGCAAGCCGAAATGAAAATGGTGAGGTGGATGTGAAATGTGACACTGAAAGACAGGAGGCCCTGTTCAGAGATAAGGGGTTGGCTGGGTATTGAGAGTTTGGAGAAGGCCTGCATAGAGGCAGGCTGAGATGGTTTGGGCATGTGGAGAAAATGGATAAGACCAATTGGGACAAGAGGCCCATGTGTAAATGTGGAGGGAAGAAGAGCAATGCCTAGAATGACATGGGTAGAGGTTGTAAGAAATAACATTAGAGTTAGGAACCTGACAAGAGAGAGACTGCAAGAGACCGTGCAACAAGGAGAACTACCATCTGGTAATCCACGCAAGCATGAAAAATAGCCGTAAAGCGATGATGATGATAACTCCCCCATTCATGGCCCATGACCTCTAGTATTTGCAAACTATCAAAGGGATGAAATTAATGCAACTTGGTGGCAAAACTGATATCTTAAAACATGAAAAAATATTAACTATTTTTGCTTACAATTCAATATTTTCAGTACTAGATGCTCTACGTGATGTGTCTATTTATCTCCTTCATCTAACAGCTTGACTGACAGCCGGGACAACTACCCTTTTCTAGCAGCCATATTCTCTCCTTACATAAACATCTCATCCTCAAGACCTCAACACAATAAACAAGTGAACAGCATGAAAAGCTGTCACTCACACAGTATCATTTATAAGTTTCAGTAGTATTTTAGCAGTACAATGAGGGTAAAACCACATTCACTTCCCTTATACCCCTTTTCAAATTTACTCAAAATCAGAGACTGTTCAGTTTTTACATTACTAGTTACAGGTATTATTGCACACAGTATTACATTAAGATAATTTTCTCTATCAATCTAACCTTCACAAGTTCACACAATGATGTCTCTTAAAACTGAAGCGGATTGCTTGGACTGCCCTATTATATATGACCTGACAGGCTGGCCCATGATGCCAACATTAACAACATTATTGTGACAACCTTTGTGACTGGAAACAGGTTGACCCCAATGTCACTAGCTCTCACATCTCATGGGGGGATTGATGATGGCCTGATTTGTAAAGTGTTGACTCTGACCTAACTGTTAGGTCTCAGTCAGGAGAATGGATGCTGTGCCCGGTAAGGCCCTGTCGGTCTCTTTGATGATGACCTGAGGTGAGAAGCATTTCTGACACAAGAAGGTTGAACTTAGCTGACCTCACTGTCAGGATTAAATTTAAATCTAACAAAACAGAAAATTTTAAAATTTAATTATGAAAAAGGGTGGTTGAGTGGCAGCAAAGGAAACACTAAGTCAGAGAGAAAACTTTACTCGTGACATTTAGTCAGAAAGGACTTTCTACAATACTGTTCATTCAAATTACTGGCTGTAATTTTTTTTCTTCCAAACTTGAGAAGTTTTAAATTTTTCTTCTGATTTATATAAATTGTAGGAGGAAGGGGGATGATTATATGAGAAATCCCCCAATGGATCTTGATGTAATAATGTTTCTTTCAGGAAAACTCACGTCTACAGCAGAGAGTTGTTTCACTGGAGGCTCAGTGTGCAAGTTTACGACAGTCAGTTAGCCGGAACCCAAGCAGAAAGACCACAACTGCATTGTTTGCAATTATCTTTTTATTCTCTCTCAACCTCGGGCCCTTAACGTAAGTACTTTTTTTTTCTATACTGTAACTCAGAATGTGAGAAGTTTTAGGACTGTCTAACCTAAGAAATATTTAAAATGGTTTTCTACTTTGATGTTAAATAGGAAGTATACATATAACTGAAACTATTTTACTTAATGCTGTACAGTGAACCCTCACTTTACGCGGTCAATTGAACCCACAGCGGCCCGCGTAAAGCGAGAAACGCGTAAAGTGAACAACATAACATATGGGATTAATTGAAATAGAGACCGGGTCGACCCCCAAACTCCACTTTTTCCCGACACAATACGTAACTTTATGATGGTATGCACACACACATAATATAGAAGGGAACAATCAATAAGAGAATAATATACTGTAGGTTAGGTTAGAAAAAAACAAGTTTTGGGTTAACACTTACGTTAGTAGAAGAGATGGGTCGGCGTACGGGAATGGAGGCTGGTACCGAGGCAGAGGGCAGGCTACTGGCCCTCAGGTGAGTCTTCATCACTGTCATCCACACTTATTAGTGCCTCCCTGACAAATCCCTCAAAGTCACCATCACTGTCTCTGTCACTATCACTGGCTTGGGCTTGATCATAGAAGCACCTGTAGACTTTGTGATGTTCATGTGCTCCTTTATCTTGGCTGCATCCTTCTTAATTGTCCGGATCGTAGATTCGTTAACACCATGCTGGCGCGCGAGATCTACCTGTCTTGTTCCTTTCTCCAACTCTTGGATGATCTTGTATTTAATTTTGTAGCTTAGGGAACGTCGTATCTTCTTTGGCTTAGGGCGGCTCGGTCCAGGTAATGCAAGGTTTCTTTGTGGTGGTGGTGGTCCGGTGGAAGCCATTCTTATGGAACAATGGATACTGATATACATGGTGTAGCCGGGCGGGGTGTAACTGACGCGGGTAGGTCAAGGGGCTTGAACGCTCCCGCGGCGGGGCACGTCATAGTACATTAAACCAATCACAGCTAGCAGGGGAGTGAGGTAAGGATGCTTGGCCCAATCACAGCCCGATACGTCATATGACGTCACCGATAACGCAACAAAGACATACACTGCGCAACCTACTCGCTCCACTTACCCAACATGGCGGGAAAGATGGCGGGAGGTTTGAATCCAAAAATGGCGCGGCGCGAGAGGGCCGCCAGCCGCTCTCCGCGTAAAAGGGTACACGCACCGCGTAAAGTGAGCATTCCGTGTTTTCGTCAGGGTACCGCGTAAACGTGGAAACAAGTTAAGTGAAACCGCGTAAAGCGGGGTTTTACTGTATACTGTATATTTACTATTCAGCAACATGTGTTCTCGGCATCACCCTCACTATCCATTATAAATCTTTCTCACTATAATCATGATCATCTAAAGCTATCCATTTAAATCTCACAAAACTGGGCAACATAGATATATTTTTTTTTAATTTAGAAATGCTTATGATATCCCTGAGGTCACAGTCACCATAGATGTGGTTGTAAATAGTGAGCTGTATCCACACTGTCCCTAACAGGCAGTCATGCCTATTGAACCCTCTTTTCATTCCTTATACACCCCTGTATTGTAAATTTTAATTATGTATCTTTACAGAATCTATAGGTACAGTACCTCCAGATATAAGAATATATATTGTTGTTTTATTTGCAGCGGTGTTCTTCTCAGCAGTGAATCAAAATTACAGTCACTCAAGACAATGATGCATGGGAGCAAGACATCAAGTATCACCTCAGGATTTCATCAGCGCTCACTCCTCTGGTCCAGTGATGACATAGGATCAACTGAGGATGGAAGCTCACCCCAGCTACCCACCAACAGCTCTCATACTTGCCCCATGTACATCAATGCCACAGAAAGTTTAAGGTAAGAAAATTAACTTACCTTGTAAATTTAAGGCAGACTTCAAATTGAATTTGGGTCAGATGTCTAGATCCTAAGTTGAAATCAATTTCCTCTTGGCAAAATAGTTAGTCATTTCCCAATTAATAAAGGGGTCCCATTCCTGAAAAATTTTCATACAGTGAACCCTCACTTTACGCGGTTAATTCAACCCACGGCGGCCCGCGTAAAGTGAGAAACGCATAAAGTGAACAACATAACATATGGGATTAATTGAAATAGAGACCGGGCCGACCCCCAAACTCCACTTTTTCCCGACACAATACAGTATGTACGTTTTACTAAAAATAACCTCTTAACTTTATGATGGTATTCACCCACACATAATATAGAAGGGAACAGTCAATAAGAGAAGAATAAAATGAAGGTTAGGTTAGAAAAAACAAGGCTGGGGTTAAGACTTACGTGAGTAGAAGAGATGGGTCGGCGTAGGGGAATGGAGGCTGGTTCCGAGGCAGAGGGCAGGCTACTGGCCCTCAGGTGAGTCTTCATCGGTGTCATCCACACTTACTAGTGCCTCCCTGACAAATCACTCAAAGTCATCGTCACTGTCTCTACCGCTGTCACTATCACTGGCTTGGGCTGGCTGTGGTGGGTTGCGGGCGAAGAACTCTGTTATGCTTTGCTGACGGCTGGTGTTTATGTTGTCGTGATAAACCTTGATGTAGGGCTCCATAGTCTGCAACAGCTGGGTAGTGAAGATTTCATACCTGTTTGCGTCAGGGTCGTCGGAAAGGAGGAGCTTGGCTTTCTCGATACACTCGATGGCACCCCTAACATTACTATGGGATAAGCGGCGTTCTTCTTGGGATGACGCACCACCTGCCTCTTCACTGACGTCATCATCATCTACCATCTCGTCGGTAGTCACATCAGGATCCCTTATCACCTCCAGGATGTCGTCGTTGGTGGTCTCGGAGAAGCCTGCAGCTGTAACACTCTGCGCAGCTTCTCTGGCAAGGTCCACTGCTACTGCAACAGTCTGAACCTCACCAGTCACAGATTGACTCTGCCTAATGGCCGGAATGCCTTGCAACACATGTCTCCATGCGTGACGAACAGTTGCTACAGACAGCTGATCCCATGCCTCCACCAAGAAGTCCACAGCTTTCTTGATGTTGAATGTTCTCCAGAATTGCTTTAAAAGTACTTCTTGCTCTGCCAACTGTTGATCCTCGTCGTCTTCGCTCTCGCTATCGGTGTTGGTGTCACTCAGGTTATGCAACTCTTCCTTGGTGTTGGTGTAGTCGTTCAGGAGCTTGAATTTTTTAGTAGAGAATGCAGCTTTTACATTACAGATTAACTCTTGGTCCATGGGCTGTAATATAGACGTAGTGTTGGGAGGAAGGAAGACCACTTTTACGTTGGGGTGACGATCTAACAGTAGGGGCGAGTGTCCTGGTGCGTTGTCCAGCAGCAACAAAATCTTGAATGGCACATTCTGTTGCTCACAGAATTTCTTCACATCGGGAACGAAACAGTCATCAAACCAGGAGAGGGACAGTGTAGAGAACATCCACGCCTTACGTGCGGTCAGCCAGTGGACATTTAGCTTGGTCATGTCCATGCTCTTGTAGGCGTGCGGCTTGCGTGCTGTGTGGATCACCGATAACTTGAGCTTACAGGTACCGGAGGCATTGGTGGTAAACAGGACGGTGATGCGCTCCTTCTGCAACTTCCGGCCCCGACACTTGCTGGCATTCTTCACAACGAAGGTCTTGGAAGGTAGCTTTTTCCAAAAAAGACCAGATTCGTCCATGTTAAACACCTGGTCGTCGGTGTACTGTCCTTCCTCCATAATCTCACGTAAAAACGGAGGAAATTCCCTAGCCGCAACACGGTCAGCACTAGCTTCTTCGCCACCAATGTTGATATTGGTGATCTTGTTCCTCTTCTTAAACCTCTGTAACCAGCCAGAGGAAGCATTAAAGGGTTTGGGCTCTGTAATTCCCATCTTTCGTGACACTGCAGCATACAGTTCACGTGCGTACTCCTTAACTGAGCGCGTGTCCACAGCCATGTTCCGTCGCGCCTGACGCACCAAGTAGCTCACAAGTAATTTTTCTGTCTTGAGAAGCACCTGGTTGTGGAAATACTTGATCATAGAAGCACCTGTAGACTTTGTGATGTTCATGTGCTCCTTTATCTTGGCTGCATCCTTCTTAATTGTCCTGATCGTAGACTCGTTAACACCATGCTGGCGCGCGAGATCAACCTGTCATGTTCCTTTCTCCAACTCTTGTATGATCTTATACTTAATTTCGTAGCTTAAGGAACGTCGTGTCTTCTTTGGCTTAGGGCGGCTGGGTCCAGGTAAGGAAAGGTTTCTCTCTGGGGGCGGTGGTCCGGCGGAAGCCATTTTACAGAACAATGGAATCACGTATACACGGTGTGGCCTGGAGGGATGAAACTGCCGCGGCTAGGTCAAGCGTCGCGTTTCCTCCCTCCTTCCTGCGGGTGGACACGTCATATTACTTTAAACCAATCACAGCTAGCAGCGGAGGGAGGTAAGGATGCATGGCCCAATTACAGTCCAATACGTCATATGACGTCACTGATAACGCAACAAAGACACACACTGCGCAACCTACATGGCGGATGGTGGGAGAGATGGCGGGAGGTTTGGATCCAAAAATGGCGCGGCTCGCCAGCCGCTCTCCGCGTAAAGGGGTACACGCACCGCGGAAAGTGAACATTCCGGTTTCGGCAGGGTACCGCGTAAACGTGGAAACGCGTAATGTGGGACCGCGTAAAGCGAGGGTTGACTGTAATTTGATTTTTCATAAATATGATCACACTTTCACATAGACTCCCGTTATAAAAACAAAGATGCATTCTTATGTAAAAAATCCATGAATGTCTTACAATGCCCAAAACATGTTTTTATTTATTTATTTTTGGTGCACACAATGATTATAAGACAAAAATAAACATAAAGCAGACTATTGTATAGTATATGCAGTACAGTAATACTGTAATTTTATACCTGTACTTCTGAGAAACAGTGTGAAATTTGAAACAAAGTGAACAATATAGAATGCAAAGCTAGCATCTATAATGAATTTATTGCTGTAGTAATACATTAATTTCCATTCTATAATTTGTTATACAGGCAGTCCCTGGATTACGTACGAGTTCCGTTCCTATAGACGTTCTTAAATCGAAAATGTACTTAAGTCAAAACACATACCTTATGTGCATACTGTACTTACAGAACAATGTTTAAAATCTCACTATATCATTGCCTAAGTCCTGATATACATAAAAAAATCACTGGATTTAAGAGAAAAGAAGAAATAGAATGACAAAATACAGTAAATGAAAGTAAAAAATAAGTCATCAGGTAAAGGTAGTAGGTACAGTATTTTCTCGATTTAAAGTACTTATTCAAGCCACCCCTTTCCCTTAAATGTGCTTCGTCAGCAAATGTAATTCATGGCCATTTTGAGAACCTAACCTCTGCGAATTTTAAGGGTATGCTGTATATATTTTTTGTCTAAGTTCACTCTATTTCATAGTCCCTGTATCTTTCAGGTTAGAAACTGAGCTCCGAGGCTGGTTTGAACACAAGTTTAAACCTTCTTCCAAGGTTGAAAAGAAGAAAGATGAAAAGCCCCACACATCTCACCTGAAGACTAAAGAGGGAAGAAACAGACTCCTCAGTCATGGACAGTTGATTCCAGAGAAACAAAAGCATGTTGTTAATGAAGTTTGGAATGCTCTGGTCCCTCCCTCTCAACCACCAACCCGACTCTACCGATATGTTCACCCAGATGTACTACAGGTGGATCCCTCAACTAGGTAACCTTGATTATTTGTTGTATTCGTTTACAATAATCTTTTAAGTTATTTAGTAATTAAATTTACAATATAAGCACACCAGTTCAAACTGAATAGCTTTGTTTTGTGTGTCAAAGGTGCCTTAAACAGTTACCCATTCTCAACATTCCCTGAAAAGTAACATCCTTAAAAGATTTTCCAATTTAGGACTGACTGACAGTTTTAAATTCCATTATTTAATGTTACATGATCTGATATGATGACATTCACATTAAGGTAACATTACACAGCCTCTTTGTCAATCCATTGTCTGTGCCAAATTTCATGTTTTCACTGATTGACCAAGCTTCCTGGTGGCCCGGTTTTGGTGGACCCAGGGATTGCATCATACTGTACTACAGGGTTGGGTTGATTAAGTTAAATGAACTTTTTGCCAATTAAACAATTAAGTTAACTAATTGTTGTAGTTAGATTTTAAAATATTGCTTAACTTACCAGATTTTTTTGCCTCTTATGATCCACTTTTTCCAAAAAGTCTCCTAAACTCACCCTGCATCTTGCATGCTAAAGGTTAACCCTTTAGGAATGAGGACGTAACTAACATCAAGATCATAATATTTAAGAACAGTACCTTGGGTTATCTAGCCACCTAACAAAAATATTTATAGAAGAAAAGTTGTTTCTTGTCTAAAGAATAAACCAAATTAATGGAGTAATAGAACTTTTCCTATTAATTTTTTTTTTCTAATGATAAAGTAAAGATACTAAGGCTGGTGCCAGCACCGCTCCCCACCTTTGTTTACATAAGCATCAGGATGTGCCATTGTTGTCTAAATACTTCTCTAGCCAATAATAATCCTATACTGGACTAAACCATGACACACTGGTTCTCAGATGACTCCAAAATGAAATACAGTATAAACTGTGTATGACCATAAATTATTAAACAAAGAAAACAAGTGAAATACTTTTAATTTAATTTAAGAATCTTACCAAGTTAACATTCTTGGTCGGGGGCTGAGGTAGCTTACTTATCACTCGAGAGTTTATACAGTATAGTAGACCCTTGCCATTTACGAGGGATAGGTTCCAAGAAATGGCGCTAATTGGCAAAACCGTGAATAGCCACTTATAAAATACCTTAGTGCACTATTATACAGGTATACCTTTACTGTATATGAGAAACTTAAGTCACAATACTCTACTTACATTAGTATGTGGAAGTCTGGAACTTGATGAAGTGGTGTACTGTACAGAGGGAGACATCTGGTTACTGAAGGATAGGTGGATCATCAGGATTACTGGTGGAGAATGGTGAATCAGTGGTGGTTGGTGGAGAGTGGCACACGACCGGGAGGTGGCGCGTGGCCGGGAGGCAGGTGGTGAGGTGGCAGGTATCTGGGAGGAGGAGGAGGGTGGTGTGGCAGCAGTAGTAGCTGGTTCTTTCTTGATAAACATGGTGATTGATAGTTGTTTCATTTTGGCTTTGAGGTCTTTAAACATTTCCTGGTAGGGAAACAACACCTGGTTGATTCTTCGGACCATCTTAAAGCTGCTTTCCATGGAAGGGTTTGCCGAGTGGTAAAGCAAGCCAGGTTTGATCATGTAGCCAGCTGCATTGCCACAGAAGTTGAACATCATCCTGTCCTTGGCTGCCTTGAACCAAGAGGCACGCCTCTCCCGCTTGTTTATGTATGTTCTACCAGGCATTTTCTTCCAATATGAACCAGATTCATCGACATTAAACACTTGCTCTGGTCTATAGCCTTTCTCTTCTATTATTTTCTTTAACTTGGCAGGAAATGCACCTGCAACTGTGTGGTCAGCTGAAGCGGCCTCCCCAGTCAGCTTCACATTATGGAGCGAGAATCTTTTCTTAAAATTCTCGAACCAACCTTTACTGGCACTAAAAGTTGGTTTAGTCACTGCACTAGCCCCTTCACCACCTGTTGACTCGTAAAAATGAGCATAAAGACTTTTAGCCTTTTTACGAATCATGTTGCTGTCAATCGGAGTACTTATGCGGTGCTGGTCCTCAATCCAAATGCTCGGTGTTTTCTCAGTTTTCATTATGTTCTTGTCACGAACAACTTGCACCACTTTAGCACTTGCAAGAACACTCACTTGAACAGAATCACGAATTGCTTGTTTATACTTTCTTATGTACCGCACTGTGGATTCATTCACACCAAACAACATCCTTTAACTTGTCTAATAATTTAATTTTCTTTGCCAGGGTCATCATTGACTTTTGCCTTTTATGTTTCACTCCACTAGAATCACTAGCACCTTTCGGGGCCATTTTCACAAAGAAACACAAAAGTTTTGAGAGTATAACACGGGATGTGAGGTCACGGGTACTGGGTGAGGGCAAACAGAGCGAGATGAGACGGCACAGGCACGTGGGGTGACTCGATGTGGTGCGGGAAAAGGCTCGCATGCTAGCCACCCGAGCCACCAGCTGCTTACCATGAATCGTAAACCCACGAATGGGAAGGGTTTAGTTTACTTGTATTTTGATAAAAGGCCTGGCAAATTAGACAAACACTTTTTTTATGCCAAATTGAAGAATTCATAAAATTATTTATTATATAATATGTGGTAATGAAAGATTTATTGAGAAACATTGTATTCAACTGACCACCCATCACCACCTCCACCCACAACAATCTCCACCACCCTGCATCAGCTAGCCAGCACATACTGTACACCTATTTTTACTAATCTTTTGACTTTAAATCAGCAAGTATGAAATAATTCAAAGGACGTATGAATGAATTATGTAAGATATGGTAATGAAGGATATACTGAGAAATATATGCATCATATTCTCCTTCTCAGAGCTGATCATTTATTAAAGTCTAATTCCACATTTAAAATTACACTCTTTTGCTGTTTCTTGATGAAAGGTGTGCTTGGTTAATTGCTGGCGGTTTTTTTTTTTGTACTGAATATACATGTTTCTTTTTTATTAATATGTGTTATATTTTTTTATGTAAAACAAATACATACTGTGCTAGGCACTGTGATATCACTTGCTGGATGTTTTGGAGTCATGATGTCGGAGTTAGATGAACCAAAATGAAACTAATCCTTCATATTTCTGTGAGGTACAAATGTATACAATGCCACAACCATACTAAAATTAGGTGAGAAGGATTCCTAAGTTTTCTGCACTGCCATACAGCTTGTGCAACACCAAGTGCCAATGACAGTATAACGAATCATAGCAATGCTAAACAGACACCTTCCTTAATTCATAAGGGACTTAACAATGATGAATGGGGAGATGTTAAGTAGGGATTCCCTCTCCACTATAAGGTGTGCAAAATTTTAAATCTTTGTTTCAGTGTTGATTGGATTCATTGTTCATTAAATGGATATATATTTAATGGTTGAAGTGGGTAAAGAAAAGTGATTCAAGAGAATTTAAGATAAAGTTTAATATTTTTTTACTCCAACAGTAGTGAAGAGGAAACAGCAGTTATGACAACAGTACCAAGATTGTCTTCTTTCCTGGAAGCTATCCAGCGTCGTGATGACACGTATTACGTTGTTTCTTTTTCCCCTGACCATTTGCTGGTACCTGCCACTGCACGTAATGATTCTGCCCGACCTCGTATGTCCCTTCTCATGCCTACACCTCGTCCAATGAATGAGTCTCTTGCACCCCCCAATGCTCATATTGCAATGATGCAGATTGATTGTGAAGTTATCCACACCCGACTTGTCCATGTGTCTGAGGAAGTCGTGCCTGCTCATTTGCGTGCCGGAGGGAACAACGCATCACACCCATCTCCGGAGGGTTCTGCCACTGACCGTCAGGAGAGACGTAGTGGCCATGCCAGATCTCGGCCTTTTCTCTCAAAGCCCACTTATCCAACCAAATAGTCTCCATGATATTTTTAAAGCATTAGATTATCATTGTACATAACAATAAATCCTACTTTTGAAATGTAAAGAAAAATATAGTAAATCTAGATTTTTCAGCTATTTAAATTGTACAAGGAAGAGAAAGGAAATTTATGAGTATTTGATCAAAATTTTGCACGATGTTAGAAGAAGTGGAAATATTTTAGCCTTTTACCATTGATATATCTTTAGAAATCAAATTAGAATTGAATGTTCATGTAGCTGTAACGATGAATTGTTGTACAAACTTTTTGTGTAAACATGGTTGACAATTTTATAGGCTTTAATTACCTAACCATGCATTTTAATGATGCTTAGTGCTGTTAGATAGTAAAGAGTTTGTTTTTGGTTACACATAAAAAACTTTTGTTGTATATGATGTAATCTTTCAAGATGTAAAACATTCCATGATCTCAGAATTAATTCTCTCCATTCCTTTCCATTCTTTCATGATGCTGGTAATTCAGTAATCAGATAAGTAAATATGCAAATTAAAAGAAATATTTTTATTATTTTGGTTTAGTGCAGTGGATTATCTAGTTATATTGTGCCTACATTCAGGTGCTTTTAGAATAGTTAATTTGTGAACTACAGTAAGCAACAACATGCACCCATGTTCTCTTGTGTGCTGGTGTAGGGTTTAACAATAAGGCTGTCACTGATGGGGAAGTACAAGATAGATGATTTCTTTTGTAATGAGGATGTATGATACACCTTTGTGTATCATCAAGCTAATTTTCAGATTGCTTTTCCTTTTGGTAGATAACTACCCATTTCTTATCACTAAAACATAATCTCATAATAGTGAACTTTACTCTCTCTCTTCATAAAGTACTTTATACTGTATTGTGTAAAAACCAGGATTGTTTTAGGTTGACAGCAATGCATTGGTATTGAGGTTTTTGTTTTAGTGTAGAAATATATTCAAAGGATAGAGAACTTATTTGCTTTTTTATGTAAATATTTATTTATTATTTTTATTGTTAGAATGTTTTCTATAGGACATGTTATGGCTGTGATTTTTGTTGTTTTCCCACATCTGGCGATGTGAATTACAGAATTTATTTTATTTTGATGTGATCAGTGGCCATTATATTTTGTTTCAGAGAATAGTGCAATATTTTGATTGTACTTTTAAATTCTCTAATCAAAACAATAACCACAATTAGATTGCTGTTTAACAAATTTTACTGTTTTGTTTTGTAAAAACACTGAACATACAAAATCTTGACTAGTTGAATACTGTACTTTCTTTAAACAACCTTTCATGATAGAAAATGTTTACATTTAACTATTGGTGCAAGAATACTGAACTGGAATGGTTGAAGGACAGTGTTTCTTCTAGTTGTAGGTGTTGTGATCAACAGTATTGAGGGCCTGATTATTGTCCCCCAAGGGGCTCCAAGAGGTTTCAGGCACCTTTTTGCTATAAGATGCATTTTTATGTGAAGAGAATTCATGTAAAGTAATTTGTCTTTAATTTTAATTGTTTAAGGATTCTTGACTTTGTGAATGGTGCCCTGAGTGTTCTGTCTTACTGGAAAGTATGTATTTTACTTTAATGCTGTGTGTGTATTACAGGACTAAGAGACTGTTCAGTGTTATGTATGAGAAGCAAAAGCTTTTGCACTTTTATAATTTAACCTTATGGAGATAAAAATAAAATTGTGCATATTTCATAATTCATTCTTTAATACCATTGACCCTAAAAACACACTAATTTTTTTTTTTATAAATATGTCTTTATTACCACTGATATGTTTATATGTTTGTCAGTATCTAAATAAACTGAATTACTCCCAATCATTCTTTATAAATCAAGGTCAGTAAAACTCTTTGTGATGCTCTACTAGACAAGAACCAGTTGGTGTTTGTCCCTAGGCCATGGCTGTTTTTAGTGACATCATCTTATACATTAAACATATTTTGTCAACCTTTATTTGAATTCCTCCAATAGTTGAAAAGTTAAAGACCAAACATTAATTATATGGCTAACAAAGAGACACGACGATGACCTTATGCTTCCAATTTCTGGAGGAAAATATTGCATACCTACATAAAATTACATGTCTTAGAAAATAGGGCTTGTAACCCTATCAAACAGTCTTCTGTTAAACATAGCAGCTACATAAAACTAGCTATCATCTATATGTGAATCACTCCATATGACAAGAGACAGATAAAACAATTAGATCAATGATAGTGAATCTCTACCCTCCAGGCATGTGTAATTAACAAAACCAGAAGGTGGAAAGACTGTTAATTGACTAGCACTATTAACCAAACTTTCTGTCCCAAGCAATTAAAAGGACAGAATAATGTAATCTCCTGCCATTGTCTGTCTTCTATGAGACTTGCATAAAGTTAATGTCAGACCTGTGCAAAATTTTTGTACATTGCAAGAATTACCTTAATCTTTCTATTATTAATCATCCACCGAACTTGTTCCTTTAGAGTAGTGACCTCACTGTTACTGTATGGTTGGATTTTTCAAGTACACCTGACTTTCGCTTTATGCGCACTCATTATATGCGAATTAACAATTATGCAAGGACTCTCCTTCTGCCCCTAATTCACTTAATGCAAAATTTTTTGGCTACTAAGCATTCTGTGTAAGGTATAGGAAGGGGAAACCTGGCGATGAGGTGGCCTGTGAGGTGGCATGTTGCCATTTTTCTTATCTTATACTGTAGTTTTATATTATATTTTCTTTATTTTTTAAACACACTAGAGTAGTGAATGATTTGTCCACACCTTATATAGCATTATGTTTACTGTTGTCTTTTAGTGTGTTTTAGTTATGAAAAAATGCCAGAATTAAGGTTGGGGGACCTCTTGAAATGGTTATGGTTTTCCTCATAAAATTGAAAATTCACTTTATGCGATTTCGAGTTGTGTGAGTTTTGCAGAACATAACCCTAGCATAAATCGAGGGTCAGGTGTAATGCTGTACAGTAGTATATGTGCATCCCTCATATAACAAAGTTGGCAAGGCTGTCCTGCCCCTCCACTTATCTGCCAGTAATATTTGTATATTAATCTTAGTCTCATTATAACATTATTAATAGATGTTAAATTAGACCCATAAGTTACATTGATATTTTGTAAAACATACAAATACTATAATGATGAAAACTCTCACTACATATGGTAATCACTTCTCTTCTGGCATTTTCTCGTTCATCTCTGATTCTTTTCATTTTCTTTTTTATCATTCTTATACTGTACGGTGCTGTACTTACATTGCTAACAGTATCTATTTTTCTGGAGCTCTTTTGCCAATTTGTCAGCCATTTCATTTAAATGATCCCCACATGTGGTGGAATTCATACAAGCTGCACAGTGCATTCCATATCTTGCATTACTATGAACAGTCGTTTACAGATATTAACAATATGAAAGTAAAGAAGAAAATCCGAAGCCAAAGCCTGTGCCATGCCTCTGGCTTTGAAGCTGAAACTTAGCCAAAAAAATACCTTCCAAAAGTCGAAGCCAAATTCAGCCCCATATCTGGTTGCTATTAGATTTTCAGAAGGCCTCCGACATATGCATCATGATACACTATGTGAAAACTGCAAACTCCTGGAATTAGATCTGCTGACTGGTTTAAGTCTTTACAGGAGACATACCCGGTACTGTTAAAGCTAATGATACCAAATCAGCCTCCTGGTCGATAACTTATCGTAGTCTTAAAACCTTTATTCTTCCTATGGTATATAAATGAAATGCCCAATGGTGTTTAATTAAATTTTTGTTGCAAGCTGATGACAGTTCCCTTAGTGTCAAGGAGATATCCAAGGAATGTAGCAAACATGTTATCATCTGAACTGGAGTCATTAAGCAATGGTTGAGATAAAAAATTACTGTATCCCTACGCCATGGGAAGACTGAAAGAACATCAATTTGATTGGAAAAAATTCAGTGGTAAATAATTTAAATGTAATTTTTGGGATTAACTAATCAAGCCGAAGGGGCAGCAAACTCATTCGAAGACATTAGGCCTATCACAACTTAAGAAGGCAACAAGATGATTATTATTTAGTTAACAAGCAGATTTTTTTCCAAAGGATGAGAACTTGGGAGACAACAAGAGAGCTTCACCTAGCACCCACCAAAGTGTAGGCAGCATACCAGAAGTGGTGACATACTTTTTACTTTACTTTTTACTTCTATCATCTTCGCCACTGATAAGCTTGTTAGCCACTTGGGTGGTCAGTCACATGTCTGTTATGCACTGTTGGCAAGTACTGGGCATGAACTGGCTCATGAATACCTGTACTGTATATCGGAACCTGCTCCAGTGTTGGTCAAGTCTGGCCTTGAAAGAGCTCACACTTGGTGCCGTCACAACATTTTCTATTTTACGGGGATTAGCCCACCCGGGCACAGGTCACTGACCCGGGCACAGGTCACTGACCCACATCGGGGCCTGGGGGCAAAAATGTAATAATAATCATAACCACATTGTTCCAAGAGTTCACAATTCTCACTCCAAAAAAGTTTGCCCTCTCTGTTTTCTGGACTTGTGGCTGTGACCCCTTGTGGGGCAGGCATCCGCCAGCTCCATGTATGTACATTCAACCGAGTAGTGCCCTCTTGAGATATTTATACACTTCGATTCGTTCGCTTAGGTCACCCTTTGCCCGTCTATAGTATAAACTAGGCAGTTGCAGGCGTTCTAATCTCTCTGGGTAGCTGAGGTTCTGTAGAGCAGGCACCAGTCTGGTGGCCCTCCATTGGAAATTTTCAATCGGTTAACAGTCTAGCACCTCACTTTTGAAGATCGTGACGAGCGACAGACCATCCAGACATCTAAGCGACCTTCTTATAAGACCTACTAGTTTCTTTGCTTGATTCACCTTCTCACAATGGCGCCAGAACTTAAGTTCCTTGTTAACATGCACACCCAGGTTCTTTTCATATTCTGTGTCAATTAATGCAGTTTCTTCATCCTGTTGGGACATGTGATATGCCTCCACACTGTTGGTGCGACCCAGGTGCATCCTCTTGTACTTCATGACATTGAACCTTAGCAGCCATTTCTTCAACCATTCTTGAAGCTCATAGAGATCTTTCTGTAGCTCTTCACGGTCGTCCACTAACATTTGAATGGAGCAATGTATAACTTCTGGCATGTCATTTATGAAACAACAACAACAGGCCTAATACACTGACCTGTGGTACCCCGCTTGTCATAGGTACACATGACGATTTCATGCCATTAATCACCACACACTGCTTGCGATCATGAAGAAAGTCTCCGATCTACGCTAGGACATTTCCCGAATCTCATACTCTTTCAATTTAATTCTCCGCCTTTCGTGGGGTCAAAAGCCTTGACAAAATCTAGGTACATATTGTCGATATTTCTGCCTTGTTCTAGAATTTGAGTCTCAACATCCAGGACCTTGAGTAATTGTGTTAAGCAGGATCGTCCCAGCATAAAACCATGTTGGCAGTCCTTTACAAGGTTGTTTCATATTAGATGTTCCATCATGGCATCTCTTAAGATGCTCTCTAGTACAGTATTTTACACATTATGCTGGTCAGGCTCACTGATCAGTGACTCTCCCTCCGGTAGGAGGTCTTTGACAGTGGGAAAACCGAGGCAATATTGCTGATGTAGGCGTCAGGACTGTTATATATTTTGCAGGAAGAGAAGTGCAAAACATCATGTACTCAGAAATTTGCCAGATGGGTCTGTATCACAGCCTAATACAAGCAGAGAAATTATTGTGTCTGAGAGCCACAAGTTCACGTCAACGATGCTTATACGAAAAGGGAAGAAACTGATCATTGTGTAGGACGGACCTTTTCTTATCCCAGTGATGGGTTGTAGGCCATGTAGGGACTTCTTTTGCTTCAGTTGATTTCCTGCCGTTAACTACTAGGGTCATTACAGCTATTGTAGGGAGAAGGGGGGCAGATTGTATTCTCATTCTGTAGCATGAGAGAGGGTGTAGTTCCAGCATCAGGAAGAGCAAGACTACAGGCAGTCTTAGCGAAGGTCAACAGTATAATTTTGTACTAATCAAAATGAGATGGAATCCAGAGAAACTGTATTACAGGTACAACAGAAGCAGATATCAGTCATTCATGAAGTCCTACAAACATTGAGTATATTAATTGTAGCACCAAGTACAGTATTTAAAGTTCAATCTTGTTTTCAGCTTTGTCAACAATTTGAGTCCAGAATAATTTTTCTCAAAATTTATTAGGATTTGGGGTCTGAATCAACACGGCACTTGAGCAATCAATAGCCCAAGCGGCTAACGAGCCGATCAGTGGTGAAGAGGATAAAAGTATTACGCAGACTACATTAATGAGCTATGAATGTTGTCTTGTGGAAAAAACCCACCAACACTTTCCGCCACTCGGTACCAGGAAACTTATTGGTGACCTTTGACCCCTATAAAATGATAAAAAGGAATAAAAGACATTTCCGGAATGGTGCCTGGGCATGTAGTAAGGCATCTTGTATCAAGACCAAAGTAATTCATGAAGTACCTATTTACCTTATTTATCTAAATGTAACAGAACACCAGATAAAAACAAAAAAGCTTCCTTCTACCGATGACATGTAAGCTGTTATATCAAAACATACAGTACGTAATTATATTATACCATTGATGCAAATAAAAGAAGGGGGGAAGAGCATACTGGGTTAAGGGACAAGTCTCTCGAGTTACTAGGTCCAAGAACTGAATGAATGACGAATACTTGTTGATTGTCAGTAACAAGAAAATTTGTGGTAAGTTATCTTTTTGACAGGAGAAGAAAGTGGCTTGTTAACACACACACACACACGAGGTAAAATAATCTCCTATACTGGAGAGATAATAAAATGCGCCAGTTTGTCTCTTTGTCGTCTGTAAATTTCACTTGCCTATTCCACCCTATACACTTAAAGTACAGAGTATACAGAAATTTCTATGATAACAATTGAATTTTTTCCATTTATGATACAATAAAACAACTGAAATTCAAATAGAAATGTTTATCATTAGGCTTTGTTTAGTCTCAGGATCCCTTGGACTCGGTGCGGCTCACGCCATCTGTTGACACCTTCTTTCCCTACCCAGAAGGAGCCATGGCTGTGAGTGTCTCCATCGGGAAATTTATTTTAACATTTTTGACCGAGTATTTTGATGTAGAATTGTGTTAGTCTTATAGATAATGAGTGGAGATGTGAATAATACGGATGATAACACGCAAACTCCTCAATCTACGAAGATGAAAGAAATATAATGGGATAAATATTAATGTTTACATGTTGACTCGTGATGATGGTCTGGGCAGTGTTCGGTGATGGTGTTCAAAAATGTGTTATTAATTGGTTCTCAGAATCGGTACTTTAAAATATGGTGCGTTAACCTGGATTGAAATATCAGGTGTTATAAGGTGGTAAATATTAGTTAATGGTGTTGGTGTAATTGCAAGTTGTTTACTTAGGAGATGTCTTTTACTATACCGGGAAGGGCTCATACTTCCCTCGATTAAATATAAATTAATCTAGTGTAGTGTTCGTTCAGTATTTGTTAGCATTATGCTGGAGTCCGCGTATTTGATGAAACCGTCAGAATCTTCAGGTTAAAGGGAAGAGTGAGACAATCTGCACACCGAGGATATTATTACCTCGAGGTCACAGAGTAATGGTTAAACCTTAATGGTATTCAGGGCTGTGGGTATTACCGAGTCTCTTGTGTGGTAATATAATATTCAAAATTTGGTAAATTTTCATTGTCACACCGTTATGTTAGAGAGTCAAAAATATATTTATCTAGTGTATTTGTGTGTGTTTAGACCGAATATGACCTTCATTTCTGACGGAAATTAGCCGGGGTTTTTTTCGAATTTTTTTCGTTGGACGTTTGCCGAAAAAAAAATCATGGCAAAATATGTCAAAAACACTAGAAAAACAAAACCCAAACCTAACCTAACCTGACTGACTCTCACCATATGATGGAATCACCTGTTTCTTACCTTATTGTCCTGGTTCTTGTTCGTCGTTGCATTCTGGGATTCTTACCCAACGCCACATATGTTGGTCTTTGCTATATTTACATTGTCTTGCTCTTAGTACATAAGAAAATAAGGAGTCTGCAATAGGCCGGTTGGCCTGTGCATGGCAGCTCCTGTCGAGAGTTACTACCTCTCTATCATCCATGAATCTATCTAGCCTCCTTTTGAAACTTTCCAGAGTTCCCGCACTTACTACAAAGTTGCTAAGCTTGTTCCACTCGTCCACCACCCTATTTGTGAACCAGTTCCTTCCTATCTCCCTCCTAAACCTAAACTTATCCAACTTGAATCCGTTGCTCCGAGTCCTATCCTGCTCGGATATTATAAGAACTTTATCTGTATCCCCTTTATTGATTCCTTTCACCCACTTAAATACTTCTATCATATCTCCCCGCACTCTTTGTCTTTCTAGGGAATGCAAGTTAAGTTTCTTTAACCTATCCTGATATGGTAGGTTTCTAAGTCCCGGAATCATTTTCGTCATTCTTCGCTGCACCGACTCTAGTGAATTTATATCCATTCTATAATAGGGGCACCAGAACTGAACCGCATAATCGAGGTTGGAAGAACACCATGCGATCGAAAAAATGCTGTAGTTTCTATGTTTTTTTTTCCAAAAACTCACAATCAGCTCCATATACACCCATCGCGGACTTCCATGGTCGGAACTGAACTTGAATTTCAAAATATGAGACCCAAAATAAAACTCGAATTTGATTGGGCCAAATATACTGCGAATTAAACCCAAAATCATTTTAATTGGTTCCAAAAGCAAAAACGCTTTTGATTGGCTGCATGACATGTACGGGAACGTATGCGCGTGATGATTTATGAAGGAGACACACAGTGTTGAAGGTGAGGCAGACGATAATGGAGGAAGATTAATGGAAGAAAATAGAGAAAATTTTGGATATGCTATTTCTGTTATTATACATTTGCGCCGGTAATGTAATGGATGAAAATTATCTTATAATTAGACGTCTTATTCGAATATGATAATAGATTAGTGGTAGGAATGAACGGTGTGTAAACGCAATAATACCCAAAATTTTCTCAGTTGTACAAAATTTTATTACTGAAGAATCAAGATTCAGACATTAGGAAGTTTGAATTTAAACTTGTGTAGATTCTCTTTAAATGGGCCTAGGAATAGCTTAATAATGTTTGATGTGGTCTTTCAAGATTTTATTACCAAATTTGACATGTGAACCAAAGCCAACTAGTTTAGTTGTAACTCTTGAAGGGCGAGCGAATAAAACAAACCAGCGGCTGTTACTGTGATGTATAATATGTGTTCTGCACGTTATTGGAAGTTGACCAATTCCAGAATTGTCTAGGGCATTATGGGGATTACCAAAATCAGTACTATTTTGCCATTAAATGAATGGAGCACCTTAGCTTTTGTCTTTATTCAAGGCATCTTCAGAGGCAACTGAATTACAAGGACCAAGAGAGGCTTAAGTACACAGGGTGACCTTACTAAGCATGAGGTCAGGTCATAAACACAACATCCACTAATCCGCACACCAACACCACCACACACAAAGAAGCTTAAAAGAAAGGGCGACTTAACTAGGCATGTTAAGTTAGGTAAAAAATATGGGACCCACTAATCATCTATCCTACATCTAAATCGAATGCTTTCAAAGCATTTTTAACCTTGGGCCACTGACAAATAAATTTGTGTAACATATCAGTTTTGTACTGACCATCACTAAGGTTTATAGAATTTAATTCTCTGATCAAACTTGCTTCAACCAGAAGTCTTTCTGTGACACATGAAGATTTATACACTTCTAAGCTGTTTTCCCAATCTATGGGATGATTATTGTTCCTAACATGAACGAACAATGCACTGCTTTCAGATCCTGTTCTAATATTGTACTTGTGCTGTTTAATTCTGAGTTGTAATGCTTTCCCAGTCTGACATAAATAATTTTCATTACATTTGCTACATGGAATGCAGTAAACACTTCCATTTACATTCAAGGTTGGGATATTCTTGATTAATATATTAGTAATAGTTGAGTGATACTTAAAAACAACATTAATATTAAATATTTAAGGGACTAAACTAACGGGACGAACTCATTGCGATAAGGTAGAGTCAAAATATTCTAAAGGTATGAATTTTCCTGTTTGAGTAGAATGAAAGGATTTTTTAGCCCTTTTAAAACAATGATCAACAAACAATGAAGCGGTCCGACTAATTACCCAATGTACCCAAATGTAGCAAAATGTAGCTGCAATGAAGTCAAATAATGGTCCTACATGAATAAATCGGACTGCTAATCACTTCTCGACTAGTATTTGGTGTCACAAAGTCACAAAAAATTGGAAAACTTACTTTAATCTGAGTTAATAGATCGTGTGCATGTACCGAGGGAGCGAGTAATTACCCAAATGTAGCCGCAATGAAGTCAAATGATGGTCCTACAAGCGTAAATCGGGCTGTGAATCACCTCTTGATTATTATTTGGTGTCATAGTCACAAAAAATTGGTAAACTTAATTTAATCTGAGTTGTGTTGTGTTAGGTTAGGTACATGCACTTGATCTATTAACTCAGATTAAATTAAGTTTACCAATTTTTGTGACTTCGTGACACCAAATACTAGTCGAGGTTAGGTTAGGTTAGGTACATGCGCTTGATCTATTAACTCAGATTAAATTAAGTTTACCAATTTTTTGTGACTTCGTGACACCAAATACCAGTCGAGAAGTGATTGACAGTCCGATTTATTCATGTAGGACCTTTATTTGACTTTACTGCGGCTACATTTGGGTAATTACTCGCTCCCTCGGTACATGCACGCGATCTATTAACTCAAATTAAATTACGTTTTCCAATTTTTTTTTACTTTGTGACACCAAATACTAGTCGAGAAGTGATTGGTAACCCTATTTATTCATGTAGGACCATTATTTGACTTCATTGCGGCTACATTTGGGTAATTAGTCGGACCCACAATGAAGGGTACCCAAGTTTTTGTGCAATGGACTGAATGTGTTTCAGTTCTTCATCAATAAATTCAGTGTCACAAATACGCAAACATCTCAAAAACATAGCAGAAAAAACTGACAATTTGGTAGATTCATGGTGACTCGATAAAAAATGTATGATACTGTCTACCTGTGTAGGCTTTCTGTACACCTAAAATTTATAGTTATGGCCATTTCTAATGATAAGCATATCAAGAAATGGAAGGGATCCATTTATTTTTCTTTCAATTTTGAATGTAATACTAGGGACAAGGTCATAAAGCTTGTCTAAAAATTCCAGTGGGTTACTGTTTCTAGGCCAAAGACAGATCATCATCTACATATCTATACCATGGAGGAATAAAGTCCCCTATATTGGGTAGTAATCTAGCCTCAAAAAACTCCATATAAGTACCGGCTAATGGAGCAGAAAGACAATTACCCATGCTCATGCCAAACATTTGCTTGTAAAACTTCCCATTTGCTCTAAACACATTGTCAGTAACACATAACTCTATCAATTTGAGAAAGGTATCATGTTCAATAGTCAAATCTAACAGTTGCAATTTATTTTTAAGAAATGAAAGTAGGTCTTTCACTGGTACTCTAGTGAAAGTGAATTTACATTAAAACTTATTTATTCACATGGTTCATTGTGTTTCTTGAGTTTTTCAATTAAATCACTGCTGTTGTGTATATGTGAATTAGATATTTGGCCTGTAAGAGGGGATAGCATCCTAACCAACCACTTGGATAATTTTGTAAGTAACAGAACCCACAGAACTCACGATAATACGTAATGGATTATTAAGCTTATGTGTATTGATCAATCCATACATATACGGTAAAGTGGGATTGATTTGAGAGAGATGTTTGATGAGATCGGGGTTCTTTTTCAATAACACCTTCATTTTAGAATTAGATAACTTGTTAATATTTCCCAGGGGATCTCTTGTAAGCTCACAATAAGTGCTATCATTACTTGGTAAAAAATTCATCTTATCATTATAGTTGCTTTGTTTTGAAATTCCTCTATGATTGGGTGTTTACATCCTTGGATGAGCTGTCACTGCGGCATTACCGCCATGAAGACAAAGTAGTGCATACCTAGGCGCCTAATTATCTACCAAATGAAGCATTTGGTGTAGATGCGTGTCCTCGCTGAACTGCATGATAAACAAGTACTGCTTGAAGCAGGCAGACTTGTTGACAGGTCGCTTCACCTACTCCTTGAGATACCTTTACAGACGGTGTTTGTCAGCTTTATAGAGACAAGGCTAAGGCAGGTTACACTTCGCGCAATGAGGGATCCTTTGTGGGAACCCGGGGTTTTGGGTGGGGGAAAATCACAAAAAGTAGTAATTTGTGATAGAAATAAAGATCAGAATCATCCAAAAACCAATCCAACCTAACCTAAACCTAGCCTATCCACTTGTGTGCTTACCTTAATTAGACTCGGAAGACTCAAAATTGGGGTCCCAGACCTTATGGAACCAATGATTGACAAATAAGATCAGTTTCCACGGCTCATATTGTGTTCTATAGAGAAATGTTCCTTTGTAGGGTGATGCTGTATAATTTCACTTCTTCCTCTTGCTAGACTTGGGAGTAACATTTATTCTTCCACAGCACTAAGGTGTTTTTCAGCTTGGTAACTACAAGGATGGTTACACTTCGTGCAAGTAACTTTCGTAGGTAGAACACAGTGTTCGTGTAGAAATTTCCATGCTTCTCTGTCTTTACCGTAATAAGCAATGTGCAATCTGGCGATAGTTTGGAAGCAATTGAAATCACAGCCATTGCACAAAGGAGACATCTTGGAAATAAGTTTAAATTTAAGAGGGTGGCGACTGGGACCTATACCAAGCTGTGATTGGTTTATCCAAAATCGTACCCACCGGTCAACGTCCAAAGAACAACTGCGTATAAGTCAAATTCTAGCGCATGCATAATGCAACATAGTAACGAACCCACGATAATAATACTGTACCCAAATGAAAGTCAGGTTCTATTAGGTTTAGTAAATGTCACATCTTTTAAAATACAGTGGGGTATGCTATAACGAATCTAATTGGTTCTAGAACCTTGTTCGTTATAGCATTCGTTCGTTATAGGATTAATCCTTTCCAGGCCCCCAAATACAACCACTTAACACTGAAAAATATAATATAAAATTGTAAAAATTGTAAAAAAGTGCATAAATATGCATCTAAACCCCTGAAATAAAGAATATCATTAATATTTGTAATAAAAAAACAATAAATTAGAAAAAAAAAATTAAATAATGTTCGTTGTAGGAGTTTCGTTCGTTATAGCATTCTCAATTTTATAGGTAAAACCGTTCGTTATAGGAATATTCGTAGTAGGATCCGTTCGTTATAGCATACCCCACTGTAGTACATACTATAATGATAAGATCCGGGATCGAAGATTCTGGCTCACAGGGAGAATGTTTAACCCAATAACTGAGGTATTTGAGGGGCTTAAGGGTTAAGTGGATCAATTTTCTCCATAAGAAATAGATAACAGGAGTTACGTTTCTGAGCCTCCCTTTGCACCATGAAATACATTACATATACAGAAATTCAATTAATTTTTATAGAAAATAGTATATACTGTACATATAAATAAACTAAATAATTTTATTTTGTACTCACTGATGGACGGTGGTGGTGGAGCGAGTGTGTGGCGGATAGTGGAGAGGAGGAGGAGGGTGGCGAGTCACTGGGACACGGCGGGTGGCTCCTCCTCCCGGTTTAAAACCTCCATTTTCGTAGCGAGGATAATGGCCTTATGTTGTTTCTTCACAACACTAGCATCAGTAGCACTTGATGGATGCTTGGAAGCCATTCAAATGGTTAAAATACAGTAATTAGAGCAAAACCACTTAAGCACACACGAATGATGTGGAAGCATAACAGAGACTGTCTTGGCGTCGCTTGGAGACGCTGTGACGTTCCTCTAGTGAGAGGTAGCGCAGCGAGGCCTGACGAGAGAGGGTGATACGCTGTCGAAAGTAGTCCGTTACAACGAAAAAACAAAGTTAAATTAAGTTGTCGGGACATTAAGCGAATTATTGGTATCTAAAGAGTAGCGACGTAGTACCGAAACAACATTAAGCGGGGCGACGTTAAACGAGGACTTACTGTAGAAGTTATTGGTACAATTTTTGAAGAGCCATATATTGTTAGTACTTTGTGAGAGACATGCGGAAGAAAAGGAATAGCTAATCATTTGTTTTCCCCACACCATTAGTAGGCCATAACTTACAGTATTTGTTGGTTAGGGTAGCGAATTAAAATTTCTGGTTTCATTGTATGTGTAAAGGCGAACATATTTGTGAGCTTTGCTACGTAAAGTTGATTTGTGAAAAAAAGGTAAAGGTGTATTTTACTTCCACACCGTAACTATGGTATAGTACAGTACAGTACAGTACAGTAGAAGTCCAAAAATCCGGACTGCTTGGGGATTGGGTCGGTCCGGATTTTCGGATTTTCCGGATTCTCAGGCAGTACTTTTAAAATTAAAATTTAAGGAGGAATAAAGAAGAGGTGAACAGGTACATTTTGATAGTTTATTCATTATCAAATAAAGCATGCTTCATTTATCAAAACGAGCAGTTTTAAAGAAAAATAAAGTCAACACTAGACAAAAATGTAAACAAACTGTCTAATACCATGACGAGTCTTGAAATTCCTAAGCCATCCATCACTAAATGCGCACGCTGATTCAATATTCATTTGCTCCTTAAAAGATTTTGCTTTGGCAATAAGCATCGGCCCAGAAATTGCCATACCTTCTGATCGTTTTAACAAAAACCATTCGTGCAACACTTTATCAAGATTTTCTAATTTGGGCCAATGTAAACTTTTTCTTTCAGCAATTTTAATGTAAGGCTCAGAAGAAGCTGTGAATTCTAGAATTTTATTCTTTGCCTTTTTTATATCATAAATTGTAGACTTTCCAATGTTGTATGTTTCCATTAGAACAGCATTGCCCACATTACATTCTAGTTTCTTAATTATTTCAAGTTTGTCACTCAATTTCAATGTGTTCTTCTTTTTCTTCACACAACGAAGTTTATCTACTTTAGGGGCCATTATTATGGGCTTGTACTCTGTACATGGAAAGAGTAGGACTCAAAATTACATACGTTGTCACAGTTTGATTGCTTGTTTTAAAGTGGCGATCGTGTGGTCGTTTGTTGTCGCTGTGCAGCTGTGGCATTCATGCATGCACACATACACACAAAAGATTTATAGTGCCTCAAATTTTACATTTCAGTTCAAGCTAATTACAAAACTAACAAAATTAGCTACCTATAATTTACAATTAATTTTATTATTAGAATTATGTAAATTAATTTTTTAAAGCAACTCCATTCATTCACGTAACCCACAAAAGCCCGCTAAATTTAAAAAGTTTGTGTTTTCGAAAAGTCCGGATTCTCGGGTGGTCCGGATTCCTGGCATCCGGATTTTTGGACTTTTACTGTATTTAGAAATTTTATTGATTGGAAAAGAATTTATTTCTTACCTTCTCAATACAGATACATTATTATAAAACAGGTATTATTAATATTTTATGACAATTGTGAGATGAAGGCAACTTCACAAAACAATAAACTTCTGATTTTAGCAACAACTATTTAAAAGCCAATCATAGAGAACTTAACGAATTGTTCCTTTTTATTGTGTACTAAATGTTTGGGGAACAACATTAAAAAATATATAGAATATTGAAAAAGGGAAGTTCCATGAAATTAACTACTGTACTGTATGCTTAAGTACCGTAATCATTTCTGAATACTGTACTTTACTGTATTTGAGAAAGATAATGATCACTGGTGACTCAGTAATTCTCACAATTGTGGAACCAGGACAGCACAATGCTCATTGGCAGTCTGTTGACTGCATTTAAAAAATATATATACAGTATATATATATTTTTAAATACTGTATTCATGTCTCCTTTGATGCCAGAATTATGATCTAGAGAAGTTAACAAACTTATTCTAACAAGTAAAATTTTGAATACGTACTGTCATTATGGTGTGTTAAGAAAATACTCTACTGTATAGTATTGACAAATACCCCCTCCCCCCAAAGCAGTACAGGGTACCTACATGCATTAAACTTATGCTCTTTATCGAAGCCAAGCTTGACTGAAGTCCTGTATGGTCAAAGTGGGAGCCAGACTGAAAATCATCGTGGTTACAATGCTGTAGTGATGTATTTTTATGGCATTTCCTAAGGTGGAGATAAATTAAGAGAATTTATATTTTTAGAGATGAAGTTTATGCTCTTACTGCACATGTGGTGTATGTACAGTATACCTCTCTAATGCTTTGTAAATATTTCAGCGTGGACCAAAGCATCATTTGAAGCGACTTGTTGCCCCCAAGTCATGGATGCTGGACAAACTTGGGGGTGTGTATGCCCCCAGGCCCTCTACTGGACCCCACAAACTTAGAGAGTGTCTACCACTGGTCCTGCTCCTGCGTAATCGTCTGAAGTATGCCCTGACCAACACTGAGGTGACAAAGATTACAATGCAGCGCCTTATCTGCATTGATGGCAAGATCCGTACTGACAGAAATTTCCCCACTGGCTTCATGGGTAAGTGTTATGGAATGGCTTGAGGCTTTATAGTATTCACAATGCCATATTGATGTAATACTGGGTATCTAACATATCTTGCTGGAAAATATTTCTTTACCTTTGTTTGAAAAACTGCAGACTTATGGTTTATTTAAAGACAATACCTTAATAAATGTCAGTATCTCTTCCAAAGAGTATGAGATGCGCAAGCCCCTTCATTTAAGTGTTCATGGATTGAGAAGGGTTGTATATCTATATTGATAAATGAATCAAATATGGTTACAGGAATACCCCGGTTATCACAATATGGTGGCAATGTTCTCCATAATCATTGTAATGGGGGGGGGGGTGCGTTCCTTGCTGGCAACTTTCATCACATATTTTTCGATATACAGGGTACTGTACACTCCTCGTTATCTGAGGCTATTAGGGACCAGGGTCGCATGTATACTGTAGTACCGGTAAATGTGAGGAATAAATAAAAATTATACTAATAAATAAAATAAAAGGAAAAAATACTGCATTGCCAGTTAGCAATAGTTTCGCTATACGCAGGACATGGGAGCCTGGAGCAGGTGAGATCCCCAGCGCTGCTCCATTCTTCCACGATCTGCGCGCTAACTCCCGTGCATGTAAGAAACCTTTATTTCCTTAATGTTTTTACCCTAAGATAATCGTTTATTTTATTTTATTTTTTGCACAGTCTGTATGAACGATTGTATGTGCATGAAACAAAAAAAATGTCTACCCAAAATTATGAGTTGAAAAATAAGAATAACCCAGACTAATTTGGCAAAATGTCAAGTCCACACGTGTATTCACTCCACACACACTCGTGCTCTTCATTTTTTATTTTATAGCAACATGCTATCTCTACATTATTTTTTCTAATTCACTTTGCGAATAAGTGGGGTATGCTTTGCAAATATCGAATATGGGTGTTAAAATATGAATTGTGAATAAACGGTGTTGCAAATAGTGTTGTATTCCTGTTCCTGTAGCCCAACTATACCAGAGCTGTTTGGCTACAAAGTCTGCCAGAAAAAAGTTGATTTCATGTCCAGTCCTTCATTACTATATTTTCTTATTTATCATTTTATTTTACCTGCCTTCCATTCCTGTGGTCACAATGAATTCTTGCTGCTCAATGAAGTTTATTTACTATATAGACTACAAATTAAAATATTTTTGAAATGTTAAAAATTCCTAATTTGTTCTGAAAAATTGCAGAATTTTTTCTTCTTAGTTAGTATTGCTTAGTTAATGTCTGTGAATGTAATACAACTCAAACCATAGTTATTGTTATTTTTTTCTGAACAATTATTATTGGATGTAGGTAAACCTATTTTAAGCATACAGTAATCAATAAAATTAAAATGCACCTCTTTTTATTTTGCTTCTCATCGAAGCCATGCTTGGCTTATGCCTTGTGTGGTCAAAATAGGAGCTAGAGTAAGTGCCATCACGGTCGCTAGCAGGATGTATATCTATCTTTGCTAGCATTACCCAAGGTGGAGACACTTTTCTTTAATATTTTGTAGTCAAGCCGGGTTACTAAAGTTTATGGGTAATCGAATGATTTTTTTTGCTAGATTCCTTCTGCCAGGCAGCTCTCATTACTTCACTGATTTTAGTTTCTGGTGTAATTCAGAACCTCAGTTACCTTATTACAAGTGGTCAGGACTAGTCTTCTACTTGATGATATAGGTGTGTGTTGGCTTGTGGTTTCAGGAGAGCCATTAGCTCACTATTGTTTAAGGTGTATGATAGCTTCTTATCCATGGGTACAGTACTTGGGTAGTTGCTTAATTTCAAAGAAAAATTGTGGATTGGGCTTTGAAGATAAGATGGCATCCCGTGGTTGATGGAAATAATGTAGACCGACTAGGTAGCACATCTTATTTGATATCCTCCTTTAAGAGGGCACTGTTTACAACTGTTTCCCTCTTTCATGAGTGTTGAGTGTGGTGAGGAGGGTTAAAGCATTGTAATTGTAGTTCACAGCCATCATTGGGAAGCAGAATGGAAGAGTAAATATTAGAATAATGCTAGCATGTTAAAAAAGAGTTGTTTGGCAATGAGCTTAGTCAGAAAATAAGATTTAAGGATTAATTTCTCATTTTTGTAACAGATGTAGTGAGCATCAAGAAGACTGGTGAACACTTCCGCATTCTCTACGATGTGAAGGGCCGTTTCATTGCTCACAGAATCACCGATGAGGAGGCCAAGGTTAGTTTAATAAATTACTGTGTATGGTTGCATTGTTACAGATGTTGCTCATGAGTTTAGTGGTACCTTTTGGTTTGGTAGAGAATATGCCATTACTTTCCAATACACGGGATATTCGGGAAATTGGCTTACAATTGGGTCGTTATAACATACTGTACTGTTTAGTATAGGGGGCCCCCTGTGTGTTCACACACACACACACATATTTACAATACAGATAAAGGAAATTTTTGTCTCTAGAACGAATGGTTCCCTGTCCCAGCCACAAAAATTCTGGCAACTTTAAAACTACCCAGACCTTCTTGGGTATATCCAGGGTGTCAGGCGCGAATAATAGAGAACCTAGAAATAAAAATCCGCAAATTTGGGGGGGGCGCCTGTATTTGATTTGGAGATACATTCCTAGTAACATTATTTGTTACATTTGAGTGATACATAATGGTTCAATTAGGCTATTTGTACAATAAGATAACTGATTAAATGATATACCGGGGTATATGCAGGTGCATAATACACAACAATATTATTAAGTGCTGATAAATATTCTACAATATTACAGTATTTAATAAAGGCTGAAGACATGTTGTGGTAAGCATGACAACATGGTGAGGGACGGTGTGGGCAGTCAGCTGTTTGCGCTATGTAAACAAAGCTGCCGGGGACTTAATACAGTATGGCACAAAAATTTATCTAAGGTCAAGTGTGGGATATTCTCTCGGGAAATTTGATTATTTCATGAAAATGCATTTGTAACCCTTCACCAATTGAACCTAAATAATATGGGAATTGTGACGAAATTGCATAAAGACGTGTCAAAGGGATTGCGGTTGACAAGCATGAGCGAGGGAGTTTTCTTCGCGGTCCAGCCAACACTCCTCCCTTCCACCATCTGTCACTTTCTTTCAACGGTTGCACATCCAGACTTTTTTTTTTCCCAGTCCATTTCTTTACTTGCAAACCCTCCATTGTATAAGAACTGAATAAGGTTATTTAAACTTAAATTTTTGGGTGTTGGAACATATGTGATTTAGAAGTCCGTGGTGAGGTGTACAGTAGTCTGGCTAGTCATGGTGTGTTGTCAAACCACCTTCCACTCTCAGGCTCACTCCATATCCCACACAATATACCCCTACTCTCTTAATTTGTATTTTTTATTTTTATATTATTGTACAGTATTGTATAAGTATTTTTTTTATTCATAAGGCACACTAGCACATTAAGATGACTTTTCTGCAAATTCTGCAGTTGTATGAGAAGTGACTAATGTATTTTGGCATAGTAGAAACTTAAACATGTAGGACACATAACACATTACTTATCATATTAGATGTTTTTAACACTTTGTGTCATATTTGGATACACACAGGCTTAGCATAAAACAGTGGATGATGCAGATGACGTACATTAATTTTTGCCACAACACGAAAGTTGCGTTGTGAAACTTCACGCTATAGAAATTCGCGCAATAAAATTAAACAGGGCTTATGGAGAAAATAGGGTTAGGTGCACGAACAATATCACATGTTCTTTCATTGCGTTCAAAACACTTAATAACATTGAGCTTCTCTCCAATTGTTATAGCCTTTCTTTTATGTTCACCACCGTTAATTCAATCACCAGGACGCTTCTTGGAAACATTCTTCTTACCTTGTCATTCCATATTCGTGGCTAACACAACAAAATTGGAGAAAACAGCAAAAGTCGCAGACACTTCACAGCAATCGACAGAAACCGCGCGATTCAACTGATCTTGTGATGTAAACAGAGAGCGCTGGTGTAAACCGTTATTAGTCCGCACTGCGAAACATTCTTTTTACTTATTCTTTTCATACAGTATTTATGGGTAACAGCTAAATTTGCAAAAAAAAATAAAATAAAAAGAAATTTACAGACTTTCAAAAAACACTTCATAAACAAAAGACACGAATCAATTAAACATGTGATGTCGAACGTGAACTGTAAACATTGCATAACTCCGGGCCACGCTACACTTAAAACGTTGAGGATGGAATCGTGTTATAGCCAACATTCGTATGCAAAAGTTCGCGTTTTACAAACGGCGTTCCCCTATTCATTAATCGCTTTACAACCAATTCGCGTTGACAAAACACGCATTGTAGCAGAAATGACTTTATATAGGAAACGCATGATGTATGGTGAAAATTTCTTCATATGCTGTACTGTAAATGTTAACGATTTATATGTGATGCCATAAATCGGTACAACATATAACGAGGACACCTAGTATACAGGCCTGAATATCACTCAGTTTGCCTCCTTTAAGTGGGATGATATTCAAAGAGTTATAAGGTCAAGTGCACTAAGTCATTCAACCCAAACAGTATTGCAGTGTTAACAGTGGTGCAAAAATTTTAACTTGCCCTTGTAATTGAACAGTGACTATAGCTGTGCATTGAAGTTTATTCACTACCCTGACATATAAACTACTGTAACAAGTCCTGGGTGTCACCTTCTCATATGGCGGCTATAGCGTGAGTACCCATTAGGTTTGATCTGTTTCCCGAAATGTATTGAGAGTAATGGACCCCTTGGTTAGGAAGCTAGGAATTTAGGTTTATTGTTTTGAAGTGTAATTGTCAAACCCTAATAGAGAGTATTCAATAAATACAGTAACCGTTAATAAAGAGTCCTAATTCGTCCCTTCCTTGTTGAGAAAGAGTGATGTGTTATGAATGTCTTGGTATTATGCAGTTATACGGTGCGTCCTATATATAGTAACTATCCTATATTTCCCCTCTGTGAAGTATTGATATCTTAGTCCCTCTAACCAGCTTCCCTGAGTCTTCCCTTGGTGTAGTCCTCTCTAGCCTAACCACAAACCGTTAGTCCTGTACTCCTCGTCTCCCCAAACGAAAACAGTTACCTCCCTCACCCTCTCCACCTCTCACAAGTATAACGAGAAAGAAGAATAAGTATATAAATAAATAAGTAAATAAATCTAAAGAAATAAAAAGACAATAGAAGACTAAGTTGTTACATAAAATGTTACATTCAATATAGGGACATAATTAATTGTTACACTTCAGTACAATTGAACATATTTTCTTGAAATGTTAAAATGCTTAATTTGCCTTGAAATAATTTCTTGTTATTCAGTATTGCTAAGTTAATGTGAATGTAATACAGCTCAAAATATATTTATTGTTATTTCTTCTGACCAAATATTGGATCAATTTAATTAAAATGCACCTCTTTTTATTTTGCTTCTCATCGAAGCCATGCTTGGCTTATGCCTTGTGTGGTCAAAATAGGAGCTAGAGTAAGTGCCATCACGGTCGCTAGCAGGATGTATATCTATCTTTGCTAGCATTACCCAAGGTGGAGACACTTTTCTTTAATATTTTGTAGTCACGCCGAGTTACTTGGTTTACCTTCTATAAGTGGATGATATTCTAAACAAATTTAAGGTTAAGTACACTCAGCCATCCAACCCAAGCTGTGCTAGAGTGTTGACAGTTGTGCAGAGAATTATAACTGTTCTTGTTGGTAGTGTTTGTAAGTTATCTATTCTTAAGTACAATTTCCTGTCAATGTCATTTTCATATTGATTGTATATGAAGTAGAAAAAGTTTGATGTATTCACAAAAGTATTTTAACTGAAATATATTTGCTTTGCAGTACAAGCTGTGCAAGGTTAAGAAGGTGTCCGTTGGCCCCAAGTGTGTTCCATTCCTTGTTACTTCTGATGGCCGTACTCTTCGTTACCCTGACCCCCTGGTCAAAGTCAATGATTCTATCCTCTTTGACATTGAGAAGAAGAAGATGAAGGATTTCATCAAGTTTGATTCAGGTAAGGTTTTGGTTTATATTAGTGGTAAGGAAGGCTAGCAATATGATCTTGTTACCTACATATAAATTGTTTGGGATCTTAACTTTACATGTGAAACATATTAAAATATGTTTAAAGTGATTATTAGTGAAAGAAAACTCTCTAGGCCTGAGGCCCCATTAGTTTAGTATTGTAGCAACTACCAGGTACTTAAAATTTTGAATTTGTAAACTCCGTGTGAGGAAATTTTATGTATATGGGCACTTGCTCTGAAAACATGCTACAGCACATAAACAGGAAGTTTTCTGTGATAATGGTCATTGCAAGACTGGAGATTATAGGGACATGCAGGTTAACAAGGTTGAGGTTAGGGGTAAGATTTCACTTTAATCAATGAGAGAGTATTTTTTTCTGGTTAAACATGATATTAACTAAATTTTGTGGTAGAGGTAATTTCTTAAATTCAAATATGCATTCAGGCTGTTTCAAGTGCTCCTTCTGCATTGTGTGGTTGAGGGTACAGTAGGGGGCCAAGAGCATGTACACCTTAAAGGTCGCTGAGTTAGTTCCAACAGCTAACCCAGCATTACCCAAGGGTGCTACATTTGTATATATTTTGTGACTAAAATAAATTTTTACAAGTGTGGTCTTAACCCTCTCAGCCAAGCATGATGGCATCGAACATAAAAGGCAAAAAAACTTATGCTCAGCCTCAAGATGTCTACATGGCGTCCAATGGACTGTATTTTCAAATAACTAAAAAACTGTTCACTGAAACTGACTGAACTTTCGACGCCATTTGACAAACTTCATTTTCTTTGTGTAGGCCTTATCACCTTCCCCGAGACGGTCTTGATCATCATGTGCAAGGCAGCGCAGCATGAAGCCAGTGTCACTGGCCATTAGAGCGAGATGAGGGTGCGCTGTTCTGCCCTTTAATTATTCCATAAGTTTTTGTGTTATATTATTTTTCCTTACACCAAGATATTCTACATGCTTTGTTCTTTATTTTGGTATATAGTACATATCAATGAACACCATAATACAAGGAAAATGTGAATGGAAATCAAGATATTACTAAACATTTTCCTACTTTTTCAACTTATACTCGAAAAAAGTGGCTTAAATTACAAGAATTTTCAGTCTGTCAGATAATTTTATGGTAGAAGAGATCCCATTACAATTAATAAAACAATTCCATGGCAGTGAAATGAGCCCTAACAAAATATTTTTTCAAATTTTTTTTTTGCTGAAACCTCCGAGGCTGAGAGTAAATTTTCATGCACGTACGTGTCTCAGGCTCCGAGGCTGAGAGGGCTAATATCTTTCTTTCTCCTCAGCCTTTGTGAATTGCCCAAATCATAAACTTGGGCAGTCATTTTGCTTATTTCACAAGTTAGACAAAATGATCTTAGTTCTTTGCTTGGCTTTATATATATACAGTATGTTACTTTTTTTGTGAAATAGGTTATTTTGCAAAATTACTGGCATGCATATTAGTAATTTTGCAAAAGAAATTACAGACAACTTAAACTAACCTAACCTTATGGTTAGGTAGGTAGTAGGGAGCTACCAAAGAGGGAGGTACTACTGCCTGGGAGGATACAGTATTGGAAGCATAATGTGTTGTCTAATGGTAGACCCTGCTGCTATATGGCATCACGAATATTTTGACCAAGTTCTAGGTTGCTGATCTGACTTTCTGCCTCATTTACACACACAATTGCAGGGACTATTGTTTCACTTACTATTGACAACACAATATACATACTGTTTATTGTTTCTCTCGTTTGATCTTTTTTAATTTTTGTATTTCTTTATGGTTCATTATTTTTATTATTATTACATTTTCAACCCCTTAGGCCCCGATGTGGGTCAGTGGCCTATGCTCGGGTGGGCTATTCCCTGTAAAAAAAAATATATATAGATACACTGTAAATACAGTATATTAGTTTTTCTTATGCTTCCATGCCATCAGCTTCCTTTAGCTGGGTAGAATAGAAGACCATGCATTTTGTGAAAAATTCATCAGCATTACAAGTACAGAGAATATGAGAAGAATTTGTGGTGGCCAGCAATACTTCACTTTGGAAATGCATTTTCTTAACAATAGCAATTTTTTCTACTCTCTTTCTCCAAATACTTTATTTTGTAGGGAACTTCTTTTCATTGGGTGGCTTTAACTGAAGAGATTTCATTTCTGCCCTTGTGAACATGTCTTCCAGCTTGCTCAGCTCCCCTCACACCCTCCCCAGTTCACTTACTCCTTTCCCAACACAGTAACTCTTTCATGCATTTATTCCTAATAAATTTTTTATTTTCAGGAAACCTATGCATGATCACTGGTGGGCGTAACTTGGGTCGTGTTGGTACCATTGTGTCCCGTGAACGTCATGCTGGAAGCTTTGACATTGTTCACGTTAAGGATGCTGTTGGCCACACTTTTGCTACCAGGTAAGAATGCATGGATTTTATTAATACTATATGGGGTTTAGTTGTGTATTTAACTTGACATTTTTTTTTAACGAGCATGGGCTTGATACAGAAATGGCTTTTTTATTTATTTATTTTTTTATTGTATTTTTTCTAAAGCTAGGATTCCTTTGTGTGTGTGTGAGAGAATAATTATCATGATGCTGGAGGCAATATCATTGGATTTTAGGATTGGCCTGCCTTGGAGTTGTTGTATGCTGATGACTTAGTGCTGATAGCAGATGGTATTGAAGAAGCATTAGATTAATTTAAGAAATGGAAGGATTTTAATTGAGGCAAAGGGATTGAGAGTGAATTTGGTCTCCCAAAATATTGATTAGTGGTGTGGGTGAGGGACCTACAGTGAAAAATGGGCATGTGCTGTCCGCAAAAAAGATGTTGGCAGCAATTCAGTAACGAGTGTGGAATGTGGGTTCACAAGAGGTGCAGTGGAATAGAAGGCAGGTTGCAGGATGCTGCTGATTTTTAAGTTGTTCTGTCTGAGCAGGTAACCATATACCCACAGCAAGACTGGACTGTTGATGAGTTTTGTTATCTGTGTGACATGGTCAATGCTCATTTCCAAGAGTCAGAACTGGGGAGCTGCTGCCTTCATTGTTAGCAAGAGTGAAAGGAAGAATGCATATGGCTGGTATAAGATGTGTGATGATGTATTACTCTGAAACAAGAGGAGGATATAGATAGACTTGCATGAGCAGAAATGAAAATGGTTAGGTAAATGTGCAATACAACACCGAAAGACAGGAGGTCTTGAGGCCATGAGAGTATGGCAAAGTCCTGCATAGAGGCAGGCTGAGATGGTTTGGGCATGTGGAGAGATATGGTCAAGAGGTGCACGAGTCTAAATGTGGAGGGGATGAGAGCCAGGAGTAAGCCTAGAATGACATGGGGAAAGGTTGTAAGAAATGACATTAGAGTTAGGAACCTGACAATAGAGACCATGTAGTGTGTAGAGCTGCCATCAAGTAACCGGGGCTAATCCACACAAGCATAGAAAATGGCCATAGTACGATAATGATTGTTGGAAATTCTTACTTCTAAATAGCCTTTCTTAGCTCAAATACATAGTTACAGTTGGTATACAGCCATTGGGAGGGTCCCCAGAGTATCACATTATTCTATGGCTTTCTCTGTAAATTATTCTGAAAAGCATACAGCTACTGTTGTGGATTAGTGAAAATGAATTATAGATGTCTGTTAGAGTAACACTCATTCTTCGGTGTTGTGAGTGGTTGTAAACAATAATTTTGTAACTGCTATGTCTGGTCTTGAGAGATGATTAGGAAAATTGGAGATAGAATTAAGGAAAAGGCCTCAGAAGTGCCCCTTAGTGCCACAATCACTAAGGTGTTTCATACGGGCCAAGACTATTATGCTGACCTTGATAGGACTTGTTGCGCATGAGCTTTAAGACCTTAAAAGAGGGCAGGACAATAAAATTTTCAAATGCTCTTGAGCATAGAACTCTCAGAAAGAAATATGTTAAAGTCGATCATGATGATGGCATATGTGCGTAATTATGGAGTACTGTATAAAATAGTTTAAGGAAATTGTAAAGAATCATAATTTGATGAAATGGGTGTTACCTACCCTGCCTCAAAGTTACTTGTGGTACAGTGTTGTGTACCTCCCCATAATGCATAACTCGGCATTGGGTCTGGTCTTAGGCTATTAAGAGAATTTAGGTTCCCCGAGTTTATTTTGTTTGTTTATGAAACTCAGGAATATGGATATCCTTCTTACATGTTTTAGCCGGGTGTCAATTGGGTCAAGTTCCAGAAACTGGTCAGTGGGATTTTTCACCCAAATAGGCCCCAAAGTCATGAAACTGTAGTACTTCAACGTCACATGATATTAAAGCAATGTAATCATATGTAACGGGTGGTTAGTGGCATGAGAGGAGGAAGCAAAAACAAAACACAACACAGTACAGTGGTCCCTCGATCAATGAACGGTTCAATTAATGAAATTTCAGTTAACGAATTAGCTCCCATAAGGATTTTCAGTTCCATTAATGAACAAAACTTCGATTAACGACAGCCTTACGAGAAACGCGCTTTGTTGTGCGCATCAGCTGATCGGCTAGTCCGCCATAACAGTATTTGGTTCTATGTTTACATTCGTTTCCAGTGGAGTAAATATCGAGAAAGTTGTGCTCTTGAATATTTTTGCATTTTTTATATTAAAATTATTGGTCATTCTGAAATTTAGTTAACATTGATAATATATACAATACAGGGAACCGTATTTGTGTGCCCTTCAGCTGATCAAATCACCCACCAATGCTTCTCAGTTTAACTTTGTTTATAGTGGAGTGAACATCGAGTTTGTTGGTCTCTTGAATAGTTTTGCATTTTTACATTAAAATTATTGGTCATTCTGAAATTTAGTGAACATTTTGATAATATACAGTGCAGAAATTATTAGGAAACATGAAGAAGGCATTAGAACCAATGCACTCTGTAAAGAATATGGCATGTCATCATCGACTACCCCTACAATCAGCTGTTTGATATGTAAACAAAGCTGCCGGGAATGCAACATACACACCTCAAAGCAAGTTAAAATACACTATTCTATTGTTTATTATTTATTATTGTACAGTAAACTGTACAGTACAGTACTGTATTTAATTTATATTTAATGTTTTGTTAATTCTATTACCAGTATACAGTACTTTGTATGTATACTTTTCTGTGAGTTGGAACCATTACCCAATATCCATTGAAATAATAGTTTCAGTTAACGTAATTTTCGGTTAACGACCGACTCTGTGGAACCAATTGTGTTCGTCAATCGAGGGACCACTGTACAGTATTTTCCACCTTTTAAGATGCAGTTATTTCTTATATTAGATGTGGTAATGAACGTTACACTGAGAAGTGTTATATTTAACTGACCATCTCCACTCTTTTACTAATCTTATGACATTAAAACACTAAGCATTTAATATTTTTAAGAATGTATAAATTAATTATATAAGGTGTTGCAGTGAACAATTTACCAAAAAGTGCATCACTTGACTGTTCTTGTCAAACAATTTTTTCTGACATCTTTGGTAGTGTTAAATTCTATTCGTTCAATATAGTAAATTGTATTTCCATGCACAAACATGGTTGTGGATTTTTTATTTATTAATATATTTTGTTATATTTTTTAGATACATGTATTAGACAAAAAAATATTGCTCACAGCTTCAACTCTTTCACCTTTTTTGTTATATTACCCTGATATCAATATTTCATACTTTCAGAACATATTTATTTTTTGACTTGTTTCCTTTGATAAATGTGTAATATTTCAACTATCTAACATGAGATGTTTAGATTCCTGGATATCACTTATACGGGGTGAAAAAAAAAGGAAAATTACCAAGAAAACACCATCAAAATTTTAAGTGATGTTGAGAGATATTGTTAATGATAATGTTAATTTAATTTTTTTTAATACTTGAATTGCAAGTTATATGGAAAAAATGCATAAAAAATTTTCATCATTAAATCGTAAAGTCAGGAGATAATTTACTGTTTCTAGGGATGTCTGTACTGTAATATTTACTTTGAATCCCACCTTACGGCATGTTTGAATTCTGCATATCTCTTCATAGGGGTAATTTTGTGTTTAATGTCCAATCACATGATTTTTTTCTTTCATTAAAATAATTAGTTATCTTAGTAGAATTTTTTTTAGAGGAATAGATAATTTTTTTTAAATGTTTGGAATGGAAGAAAGGGTAGATGGTGTGCAGTGCAGAGTGATAGAACGGGTGAAGTAAGGGTCCCTGAGATAGTGAGGAGTCTTGAGAGGAATGCCAGCTAGTGGATAGGATGATGATGTTTAAAGAAGCAATGAAGGTGGTGTACTGGGTTGATGGAGATGGCCTGTATTATGAATGGTGGAACAATATAATTATAATGTGAGAATTGGGGAGGGGGAAAGGGGAATAAATAAGGCAAAGGAGGCTGCTAGAGTGGTCTGGAGGTTGATGTTTGACTACCCCCTCAGAGGGGAGTTAGTCATCACAGATAAAATTGTTTGATATATAAAAATTGTACTGTATTTAGCTCAGGATTGGTGTGGTTGGCTGAAAATTGACATTTCTAGATCCAAAGATATTAATGAACAAATATGTCTTTTCAGATTGAACAACGTCTTCGTCATTGGAAAGGGCAGCAAGGCGTACGTGTCTCTACCACGTGGTAAGGGTATCAAACTTAGCATCGCTGAGGAGCGTGACCGCAGGCTGGCGCAGAAAGTCAACTAAAAAATAAATCCTAGTTCGAATATGTGTTTCATAAAACCTTTGTTGTTCTCCTCATCTGTTGAATTTTTTTTTAATAAAACAGGAGAGAAATAATTAAACATAAAATTCAATAATTTGTTGTTATCTAATGATTGAAGAGCTGATGAATTGTGGAGAGAAATTAACAAGCATGTACAGTATCTAGTAAAATTATTAGCTTGTGTATGAAGCAAAAACTACCAGATGGAGAAGTCGAAAGTGTTAATGATGCCCACTTACTGTATAAAGGAAATTGCAATGAATGCAAAATTTTGAAGATTTGATTTGATGAATATACCTGGTAAACTATATGGTAGAGTAACATCGAGGGTGAGAAAGATGAAATAACAAGATTTAGAGAAGGTAGGAAAAGTCCAGTATTGATCACTCGATACTGTATGTATTGTGCTGGAAAAAGTGTGTATTGCAATCAATAGGAAACTACAGTGCAGTATTTAATTGCATTTGAAGAAGGCATAATTATAATGGGATGGATCACAGGATTTGTTACGGAAAAAGTGCATACAAGGGTAAATGGATTTGTATTGTAAGCACTAAAGAGGCAGGGATGGGTTAAAGTAAGGATGAAATGAAGGGGTAGATGGTGGTGCAGTACAGTGATCCCTCGGTTAACGAATTACCTTCCATAAGATTCTTAACTTCGGTTAACGAGCGATCCCTCTAAGTTTTTAACGAACACCCCTCCACATGTTTTCGCTGTAGTATTAGTCCGCCAATACAGTAATCGGTTCTAGGGCTTAAATTCCTTACGATTTTAGTAAATATCAAGAAGTTTGTGATATTCAATAATTTTAAAAGTTTTATATTAAATTTTTTAGTAATTTTAACAATTATTGAACATAATTGAAGTATAGGAAGCTAGTTTTTTGCGTGCCAAACAGCCTGTCAACACACCATACAGGCGTCAGTCTCTTGTGTCTTTTCAGTGGAGGTAACATCTTGCTTCAGACTCCAACATAAATGCTTTTTTTCTGTGTTTCCAAGCAAATTATTGGTCAATTTGAAATTTATTTTACATATTGACAATATATAATGCATTGCAGTGTTGATTTAAAGAAAATAATCTTGAATTACACCAAGAGAACTAAAATTTTATGGGTGAAATGGTGCCATGGGGTGGCTTCTCCACCCCAATGCCTTCTCTTCTCCCTTCACCCCCATTCTAATTCCCATCATCATCATCATCCAGGAGCCTTCTACATACACACCTCAAAGTAAGTGTACTTTACTACCTTTTTTGTTGATTTTAGGCAATTTTTGGTGAGCTGGAACCAATTACCCAAAAACCCATTGAAACAATGGTTTCGGTTAACGAGCAACCTTCTGGAACGAATTGTGCTCCTTAACCAAGGGACCACTGTACTATATAGTTGGTTGTAACAGGCAGGACGGTGAGCATTTTGTTCAGTGAATTTTGTAGTAAAAGAAATCGAAGGTAAATAGAAGAATTTTGTGATATTTATTCAGTAAAATTTTTATACTGTGCTGTAAAAATTCACATTGATTCAGCAAGTATTAGTTAAAAAATTACAGTACTATCATAATTTGCGGGTGTTGGCCAAGTACCCAACTGGAAATAAGCATCTCATGGCTTTGTAGGCAATCCTTGGTCAAATTGACTAAATGTTATTTATTAGTATTATTATTACTATTAGTATAGGAAAAGTTGTAAAATACATTAACCCACATAGCATGGCTTGATGTAATTACATAAATATGTTGAAATGGCGCAGGTGGTTAAACGACCATTGAAGTGTTTACCACTAGTTGTCTTGCCAGTTCCGATTCTTGATTCCCTCAGTATGTTTGTGTAATAGTGGGTGAAGGGTGTGCGTCCGCGTGGGAAAATATTTGTGACAATCTGATACAGTTGAATGGCTAAACCATAATGTTAATGAAAATTCATGCACCATAATTGCAATAAATGTTAAAAGTGAAACCTTTTGTTAAATTATCTAAATCAAAGGTAGTGGTAATGAGGACATAGAAAGATTTGGTGTTGGAGTAAAAGTGCCATATAATTTGCTCTGTTCGAACCCAGGAAGTGATACTGTACTTCATTGAGTAAGTACAAATTGTCATCTTGTATAATATATAATTAGATGCTGTAAATAGGCAAATATAAAAAAAAAGTTAATGACAATCACCAGTATTGTATACCAACATTCAACATTATCTGTTGAAAATAATCGGTTTGCAGATTTGATTTTTTGTTATATTTATCGTATTATTCACTTTAAAAATACAATTGCAAGGAAAAAACTACATTTACAAAATCTCATTCAGCGTTGAATAACCATGAAGTAATTGCGTGGGCGGGAACAAAGATAACTTTTAGTTCTGTATATTGCAACGATTTTCTATATATATATATATATATATATGCATGCAAGTAAATCACTGTAGGTGCGTGTGATCTAGGTATATGCTGATAACCACAAGGAAAGAAGAAAACACGAAGTTCCCAAGGGCTTTCGTGTAATTCACATCTTCACCCCTGAAGATGTGAATTACAAACATGAAAATTTTTCTTATGATATCAACATATATATATATATATATATATATATATATATATATATATATATATATATATATATATATATATATATATATATATATATATATATATATATATATATATATATATATGATAAAATCACACGGGAAAATGGAAACAACGAGGTACCTTAACTTAAATGCTTTATTCAAGGCTAGGTACAAGTAACCATTTTGATAGATTTATCAAGGCTATCTTATCCACATTTTCATTGTGGATTTACATGAAACTATATATATATATATATATATATATATATATATATATATATATATATATATATATATATATATATATATATATATGTATATATATATATATGTGTATATATATCTATATATATATGTGCTGAGAAAAACATGCATACGACCCCCCTAAAAAAATTGTTCTAAGAAACTGCACCTCACACCTGCTACGTGCTAAACGCAGCATTTCTGTCTACTCTTCTCTTTCTTTCTCCCGCTAACACTCGACCCCCCTAAGAAAACAGCATTGCCCTCATGTGCTGAGAGAACAACTTAGAAACCACCTTCAACTCTGTACTATTCCACTCGCAGCCAGCAACCCCATTTCTTGCCTAGCCCAACTCAAAATCAACCAGAACAGCATGCTCCCTTTTTGCCTGGCCCTTAAACTAGAGAACCAATGTCAAAATTAATACCCAGTCCGAAACAAACATGCTCTCCTTTGCCTGGCCCTTGAACTAAGAGGAACCAATGTCAAAACAATACTCAGTCCAACTCAAACATGCTATCCTTTTGCCTGGCCCTTGAACTAAGAGGAACCAGTGTCAAAACAATACTCAGTCCAACTCAAACATGCTCTCCTTTTGCCTGGCCCTTGAACTAAGAGGAACCAGTGTCAAAATAAATACTCAGTCCACACGAACGCTCTCACGTCCTCAACGATCGACTCAATCCACGTCTCCGAACCTCCTGCTGGCAGACCAGCCCTCTGACAATGTACCAGTCCATATTAGTGAGGCCCTGGACATTACAACCGTACTCTCAATCCCGCTCATGACAGCAACCACTACTCAACGCACATCTCTGACCTAACCATCTCTCCAATCCCCTCTGCCCTACTCACGACTCCTCCAACTCACCCTTGACAACCTGCATTTTCTCATTACCATGCACACCCAAACTGTAATCGGTCGACTTCGTCTCTCAGCTGGAGGGCTCGATCGACCTCTCTGAACTACTTACGTACCCCTGTATTTTCCCACTTGGACCAGACACTTCCTTGACTGCTGGACGTGTGCCTGACATTCACCCCCTTGTTTCCTCCCTGAACCGTTGAATGTGTGCCTGAAACTCCCACTTGAACCTGTTTACCCGTGCTTGATAATCCCTCTTTAGGTCCCCGAACTCCTCTCTCAGCTGTACCAAGGTCTCGTGGCTGTCTCTCTTCCTCCTCATACACATCTCTACTGTCAAGCCTAACCAACTCAATCCGGGCACAAGGATGAGCATCAGTGCGAGTTCAATCCCTACCATTACTAACCAACACATGATGGCGTTCATTATCCCAACCACAGAACTATCAGTCACGACATTAAAAATAACTACGCTCTGCTACCATTTGTAACCGGTCGGAATTTACTGGATCTTAATTTCTCACTTGACTTGCCGTTTATTAAAGATTATTAGATGGTAATTGCAGTGGAAGCGCCCCTTTGAGAAAAATCCCGAACCAGCACAAGAACACTTAAATTTACTAAACAAAATGAATTGTCCGTGACCCGTGGAAGGATAGCGTCTGTGACTGGGATGAATGAGACACACTGTAAAATTTTGACACTTATATTCCCTCCAACACTACAGACACAATCAAATAATGGTACACCAACATATGCGCACCTCTTAACCTGAACTTAAAACACTACTCTGGGGAGTAAAAGTTATACATGATATAGCAATTATTAGAAACTCAGACAATGCCTCATTAGACAACAATAAATTTAAAGTATTAAGAAATGTTGATTGCACACATGAAACAGGCCTTAAGGGTTTTCACAAAATAATGTCCACCACTGCGGAAATGGCACAAAAATAAGAAATTATTAATTCCACCCTGAATAGGCCTAAAGGGCACTCAATAGAATTATGTTACACCAACAGATGCACACTTCCTAACCTAACTTAAACACTACTCTGGGGAACAAAGGTTATATCTGAGGTCGGAATTATAAAGAAAAATTAAATGCATTAAAGGAACTAAATCACAGTATCACTCTGGTTTCAATTAGTGACACAAGCATTAAAAAAACAATACTATCAAAATTATTTGAGAAATATTAAACTACACACATCAAGATAATATCAGTAACTGAAAGAAATGGTATTAACTACACACAAAATATTATCACTATTATTGAGATGTTACTGGGTCCACCAATACCCGTGAACCATGCTTCAC